CCCACAATCCTCGGGAAAGGTGGAGAGGGCCAATGGACTCATCAAGCATCAACTAATCAAGCTCTTCATTGAACTCAAGGTTATCTTGGCCCTCTTTTCTCCCCATTGCCCTTACTCGCCTCAGGGCCACCCCACATTCTCCTAGGGCCTGAGCCCTTTTGAGCTGCTTTATTGTAGGGTTAGGGCAGCCCCTAAGGGGGCAGGCTTACCTCGGGCGAATGTTTACTGATAAACGCGTGCGGAAGCACGCGTGCTCTTTTTCTGTTTTTTGTGCTCAGCGGGAACTTTGGATCTGTAAGTCTAATTTCTCCATTAAAGCTGTGTATATATTATTTACAATCTGCCTGCTTTCATTTACCACGCAACACTTTATGGCAGGCCCTTGCTCCTTAACCATCTCCTCCCAGTCCAAATTCCTCCACTGGCAGGGTACCAACCCTATCTCTCTCTTTTAAGGTCTCTTTTCTGTTCACATTCTGACAGTTGTTACCTGCCCCCACACCAGTGCACCCTAATGCTTCTAAACCTGCCCTGCTCTCCCCAGGGGACAGAGTACTCCTTAAACAGTTAACTCCTAGGACTCTTGAACCTCGATGGACAGGACCTCACACGGTAATCCTCACCACACCCTCGGCTGCCAAGCTCTTGGGACACCCATGCTGGTACCATCTCTCCAAGCTCAAGCAGGCACCTACTCAAGACACTTGGTCTGTCCAAGAGACAGGACCTTCCACCCTCCAGTTTTCCAAGATGCCACAATGAAGGGCCTACCTGCTCCTCATCCTGACACACTCATCTTTGGTGATTCAAACAAGATGGGTAATAACTATTTTTTCTTAGACACCTGCCATCTCACCTCCCCCAAGGAACAGATGCCTGGTCTCTCTGGGATTACAGTACATGGGATGCTTTTCCAGCCACAGTTCTCGCTGAGTGTGGACCCACCAACACCCAGCTCTCCCCTTCCCCACATTGCCCCATGCCCGCAGGAAGTAGCCAGACTTGAGTCAAGGCCCCTTTTTCCTAAGAGAGCCTAAATGTTAGTCAAAATATCACCTCATCTTCCTGTTACCCCTTATACAAATAGTCTGGAACTTAAGTCCCGGTCTCTGGCCTCCATCTTGGGAGAACCTGTCCCTGTGCCCACCACGCTTTGACCCCTCCCTGGAGGAGGGTCAAGACAGTCCGCCAAAATCTTGACCTCTCCCCCAATCTATTTAAACTGCTTCCCCGGAAAGTTCCCTCATGGTCCCCCTGCCCCCCCCCATGGTCATATTTAAAGCTTTCTGGTTCCTCCCCCACCTGGGGGGGCATTCAAGAGTGCAGGAATCCCATTAAACTTGGATATATTTTAATTTGGCTTGTGTGATGGAGGAAGGACATTGGTTAATTATAATAAAGAAACTGCCTTGGCCCATTTTACTGGTTAGAACATAGGTGGGCGGAAAAACAGAGAGAATGCTGGGAGAAAGAAGCTGAGTCAGGGAGTCGCCATGATTCTCCCACGCCAGACAGATGCAGGTTAAGATCCTCCCTGGTAAGCCACTTCATGGGCTACACAGAATATTAGAAATGGGTTAGATTAATATGTAAGAGCTAGCCAATAAGAAACTGGAACTAGCCGGGGCAGGCAGTGTTTAAAAAAATACAGTTTCCGTGTAATTATTTCGGGGCATAACCTAGCCATGCGGGCGTCCAGGTGCAGGGACGCAGCCCTGCCGCTCCTAATTCAACACTTGTGATTTGCCTTGATTGGGATTTTTGCATCGGCAGAAAGCTTGCAATAGGAAATTCCTAACACTATCCTATATGTTTCTCTGTTTTATTATTTTCATTTGTGTCTTCATATTCTTTACCATATTCCTAATCCCCACGCTTTTACCAAGGCAAGAGGTATTTTTGTCGTGGCTGTTTCCCGTCACTTGAAGCAGGAATTAAACAATAGACATGCTTGTGTTAGTATCACTACCCCTAACTCTTAGGATCAAGTTTATAGTGGTGATTGAGGAAGTACCTGATGAACGGAATAGTAATTTGCATAATTTACTATATAAAATGTTGTAAAGACTTCTTTGCATCCATATTTTAAATAGTCCTAAAACAGAACAAAGTATCAATTTGGGGCAATCACATCAAAATAAAAGATACTGTTATTTTTTATTGGTCAGCATATTTTATTGTAGTGCTGCGGTGAACCCAGGATTTCCCACATTAGACAAGGGCTATACCTCTTGTTCATCATGCCCAAGTGCTCTATTCTCGGCTCTCCTTTCATGTATTTTGATACAGAGCCCCACAAAGTTACCAAGGCTGAGGCTGAACTTTCATTTTCCTGCTGCAGCCTTCTGAGTAGCAGGCCTCACACTTAGGCCCCATTAGATGGAAGATATTTTCCTTACCCTTAGTTTTGCTTTGTTTTGGAAAAAGTAAGCATTTGCTATAGATAGCTCCTTTTCTCTTAGTGGTAACTTCAAAGACGAGGGACAAAACTAGAAAAGGATTTTAGAACCAATGTTAATTGTACGGCAGAAAAGTAAAATTGAAATAGATTTAATAGTTTTACAGTATAATACGTAAATATCTTTATAAAACATTAGAAGCCCATGTCAATAGCTAAAGGAATACAATAACATGTCATACTTCAAAGCCTATTATTTTTGTGAGCTTAAATGTAATTCACTCTTTTCCTTAAAAACAAAAATTTAGATAAGAGTGCCATGCATGCCAGACAGCCCTGAAACTCATCATATTTAACTTTTCTGACACTGACTCTGTGCTGAGATTACAGGCATTCACCACCACTTCTGGCTTGGCTCTTTTTTCTGTAACCTCCCTTTGCTGTGTGTCTCTTAAATCAGAGACTATGTGTCAGTGAAATAAAGGCAATAGGTTAAGGAAATTTATACAAGACTGTCATTTGCCTGCTACCTTGGATTTCTGCCAAATCTGTCGCCACCTGTACGGTGACTTATTTGGTGTACATTAATTGACGGTTAAATCATTTACACACAGTACAATAAACTTGCAAATAAGACCATTGAGATAATGGTTTGCATAGGCCACTGCTTGACCCTGTTTGCGGGGATGGGTGACATTAAAAATACTCTAAGCTGGGGATGGGGGATGGCCCAGTAGATTAAGCATTTGCCTTTCAAATGTGAGGACCAGCATTAGGATGCCCAGAAGTCAAGTGAAAACCTAATGTGCCTGTTGGGCACCTGTAACCCTGCCCATCACTCTGAACACAGAGATGGGGGATCTCCCAATAGGATCCAATAACTTTTGGATCTCCCAATAGTTAGCCTAGCTGGAACTGCAGAGCTCTGGTTTCATTCAAATGATGTTTCAATAAATACACTGGAGAGAGATTGAAGAAAACATCTGCCATCAAATTTGAGCTTTTACATGTTTATCACACTTGTAAACATGTATACATACATGAACTCAAACCATACATACAAATACACATGCAAAAAGTGATTTCAAATTGCATAGATAAAATTAATGCCTTATTCTTCTGCTTCCTCTTCTTCCTTGTGTGGTAAGAACATACCATCTCAGATTCTTTAATTTTCTCACAGTATTAGGGTCACTAGGATAAGGCTTTTAAAAATGGGAAGATTTGCCCAAAGCAAAAAAGGAATTCCCATTACTGAGCTCTTGCAAGTTCCTTAGCAAAGAATGAAGAGCCTTTCTTTGGAGCCTTTCTTTGGCGACCAAAAGGTAACAGTGCTAGTAAGGCAAGATCTCTGATTGCAAGTCTTGGGTTGCAGGTACTATCTGCACTCAAAATACTTAGAATCTGTCTACAACTAATACAAAGCACATTTTAAGAACTGTTGTACAATGACAGATATGTTTATCTTAAAAAACCACTGAAAAAATTCCTGCTAATTTCTTACTTCTTGGTGCTAATTTTCTTTTCTTTTCTTTTCTTTTATTCTTTTCTTTTTTTTAAACAGGGTTTCTCTGTGGTTTTTGGAGCCTGTCCTGGAACTAGCTCTTGTAGACCAGGCTGGTCTCGAACTCACAGAGATCCGCCTGCCTCTGTCTCCCGAGTGCTGGGATTAAAGGCGTGCACCACCACCGCCCGGCTCTTGGTGCTAATTTTCATTCGACATTATTAGTAGTATCTCTGTCACCAAGTTATGAATTTACACGTTCCTATTCTAGGAAGACTACAGCGTGTTTTGAGTAAGCTCCATTCAGTAGCAGTGAAATGTGATCTAAAAATAAGGTGAGGTGGGTGTGGTTATGCATGAACTTGAGAGGCTTAGAAAGGAGGGTCATAAGTTTGAACCCACCCTGAACTAAATAGTGACTTGTTGTACACAGTGAGACGTGTAACAGGGAGCGGGGCAAAAAGAGAGGGCAGAAAACTTGACTTCAGTTTATGCCAGTGGAGAGTGGAGTACTTTGTACTCTGCCTTAAAAAAGAAAAAAAAGGGAAAAAACAAAACAGTGAAGACTTTTGGACCCCATGTAAACTTTACATCTCAAATGCAATTTTGAAAGTCCTAATAACAAAAAACAAAAGGTAAATCTCTTAAGCATTATGATAGTTTATTGTAAGATTCGTTTAAAGCAATACTGGAGATGGGAATACCAAGAACTATAAAACTATCTTCCCCTTTGGCTTCAGAGATGAGAATACTAAGAGGAACAGAAAACCACGCAGAGAAAGGTCGTGTTAGCAGGAGCACGAATACGCATATCGGCCCTCCTCCCCGCTTCCACGGCGCCGGCTTTAGGCCTGAAAGACTTCAGCTTTGGATGTGCACACACATCCTCTGGGAACCCTGGCCACCTTCCTCACCTTCCCCGTGCCGAGCCCAGTCCGCCCTCCCGCGGCCACGCCCACTTTCTGACTCGGCGAGGCCACACCCCTCAGGCTCCCGCCCCGCCCAAGGCCCTGGATCCCCCCGAGGCTCCGCCCTCCCGCTCTGCGGAACACCCCCCACGGGCTCCGGAAACGCCTCAGCGGATGCCGGTACGTGACCGTGACGTCACGCGCGCGTCTCTGGTCTTGGTCGCCGTCTTCGCGCGGTCGCGGTCGTGCGTGGCCGCGGTCTCCTGGTGTGTCGCTGTCGCTGTCCCGGTGTCGCTACCCGCTAGGGCTGCACCATGTACCACAGCAGCAGCCAGAAACGGCACTGGACCTTTGCGAGCGAGGAGCAGCTGGCGCGCCTGCGGGCCGACGCCAACCGCAAATTCAAGTGCAGAGCGGTGGCTAACGGGAAGGTGAGGTCCCGCAGGGCAGGCCCTGCGCCCACGCGAGCGCCTGCGGGAACTTGCGGCCTCTCCTGAAGTCCTCGCTTTGCCTGCAGGCGGGCGGGCAGGGAGCGCGGAGCGCGCTTCTGGCTGGAGCCGGTGCAGACAGACGCGGGACCCAGGCTGGCCGTGACAGGGATGACTAACTCCGGGGAAAAGGCCACAATTAAGCCTTGGGGGATGTCGAGTTTGTGCAGGACTCGAACTGGTCACTTGTCCTGCAGGATGTCAGGACAAACCATTCTCAGTAGTTGGCACTCTAGAGGGGCAAAGGATGGTCCCGCAGACACAGCCGCTGGTGCAGAATCGTGGTCATTGTGGGCAAAACTGTACCTGTGCTACAGGGATTGAAGAACTTGTAAACGGAAGCCTAAGGTTGAAACTCATGCCGAAACTGAAGGGAGGCTTTCCAAGACTTGAAATGGGGAAATGACTCGTTGGGTTTGCTTTCCATAAACAACCCTCACGTACAAGATTGCACCAGGAAAGGAAGTAGACAGTTGACACAGCCAGTTGAGCATGGTTTGATCTATGGTCCTCTCCCCAGGTCTTCTTTCTGTTGTGCTGATTTAAGGTGACATTATACTAGCTCCGACAGATTTCAAGTAAATAATATTTGCACTCCCAAAACAACGAGGTAACAAATATACTGAGTCATTTGTTGCTGATTTCTTTAGATTGGGTGATGGAGAGACTGACTGAAAAAAATGGGAATCGGGAGATATCCAACTAATGAAAAAAAGTATTGATTTACAGATAATGGTATCAGACCTGGGAGCATATAGGTACATGCTCTGTCATGGTTGTTTACAAATATCCAACTGGTATTTTGGGAAATTGAGAGATGATGGTGTAAATTCAGGTTATTTATTTTGTTTATTATTTCCTAAAATATTTTGTGTAATGCTTAGCAAACGTACAAAGAGAAAGTGGTGTGAAGTATTTTCCCTTTGTTGAAGATAGAAATCAAATTTAAGCAGGACGGAGAAGACGGTTTTACAGTTAATTCACTGAATTTATGTTGAAATGTTTGCTCTGTTTAAAGGTTCTTCCAAATGATCCAGTATTTCTTGAGCCTTATGAAGAAATGACACTTTGCAAATACTATGAGAAAAGATTATTGGAATTCTGTTCCGTGTTTAAACCAGCAATGCCACGCTCTGTTGTGGTAAGTCATGGTCGTGAATATAATGTTTTAGCAAGCTTGTGAGAACTGAACTCTTCTAAATTACCTGTTAAATTCTCTCTTTACTCTAAAAGACTCACCTTAGTTGTGCTTAATTTTGTCACATTTTTTTTAAGTAGCAAAATTGTATTTATGTTAGAATTATGCTTTAGGTTAGCATAGTCTTAACTATAGAACTAAATAGGCCCCCAACTACATAACAGAAAAAAAAAAAAGTTGTATCTTCTCATATTGTGGTCCAGTACCGACATCTCATCAGGAAGTGGCTCTCTTTAGTCTTGACTAGAATCTCAGGCTCCTGCTCTCTCGTGCCTCTAATGTTGGCCCACCTAGTAGTGCTCTGCTTCTGAGTGGACAAGAGGGAAGTCTGGAGAGGCATATCCACTGTTTGAACTCTGGGCTGAAAATCGGCAGCCATCCCACTAATTCTGTTAATAGACAGAAGCAAGACTGAGGAATGTGGCTTCTGCCTAGATGCTCATTTCCCTGTGTCAAGGCCTGAACAGTAATGAATCTTAAGTGAAACTTGTGTATGAATCAGCTATAGTTTTTTTGTAAATATTGATATATTCATACATGTATCAATATGAGTGAGAAAAACTGATTTTTGAGATTTTTAAATAAAGGCCTTAAATCATAAGTTGCTATATTTTGTGAATAGGGCATCTTCAACACCATTTCATAGCCTGCTGTACAGTTTGTGACATCCTCATTTTTTTGGGGAAAAGAAAAGCCATTTTTCTTCTGGCCTTCTTGACTAGAGAAAGTAGAATTGCGATTCGAGTTTAACTAGAGCGTTTTCAGTTCTGCTCAACTCAGTGCTTGTTTGAAGCCATCCTTTGCCTTCCAGCTGCAACTCCTGCCCCAAGACCTTTTGAAACTTTCATTAGAAGTTGTTAGAGCTTTATCTTTGGGCTTATTACTGGTTTCTTGGCAAGATAGTCTCAGGTCACATCGGCCTTGAGTTCATTATGTTCCAGAAAACGACCTTGAACTTGATTCAATCCCTTCAACCTGACTGCAAATCTGGTATTATGTAGTACTGGAGTGCATGCATGCTGGCAGGTGCACTACCAACTGAGCTGTATCTCAGGCTTAAATGTCTTAGGATTATTAGTTTATATGGTTCTGAGTGTTGTGTTTCCTACTAGAGAGAGTGGTCAGTGGTGAGAAGGAATAAGTAACTGGTATTAAAAAGCTAAACAACAAAGAAATAAAAAAGCTGGTGTTAAGCCTTGCTTATCACTCTCATGGCTAGTTAGTTGTAAAGATCAAGTATTAAAGGCTATTTTTAAAGTGAATGAATAGAGAAGAACTACCTAAGATCCTCCATTTTTATAGTAGAAAAAAATGGAAGAATATTAAATACACATATTTATAGTTTATTTTTAAGTTGCAGACTTATCTGAGAGATGAAACAGTCATGAACAGTATTAGATACAGTTGATTAGTTTCTATAATGAAATTTGGATTTTGTCTTTCATTATAAGAGCTGTAGAATTAAGTGATAGGATTAAATTATCTCTTTGGGTCAAGCAATTCTTGAATGAATGTTACAAAATTTGTCTATACAATGAATACAAATTTTGTTGTTTAACATGAATTGATAGCAAATTTTAGTGAAGGATTTTCCTGTTATCAGTTAAATAAATGGTTAGTTTACTGTTTTGTCATGTGATAATAATAGTTGAAGCTTCAGGTAGTTCTTAGTTAAGTATAGCCTCTGACCTTTGATAAATGTCTGAATAAATCAGATAACTTGTGATACTACTTTATAGAGATAGCAGTATTTTACTAATGTGTTGTAAGGATTGGAGTATATTGGTGTTTTGAGATTCACACAGTGAGCTTACTTATTGGATGGGATGTATCAGGTGACACTAGGTGCTGCAGGTTGGCAGTAGTCGTCCTGGCTCACCACAGATCTGGAGTGACAGTCATTTTATTCTGTTAGCAGTTTTCCAAGATTGGGTAGCCTGTGATCACTTATTTTAATGCTTAAATTTTTCTGATTTTAAGTATTCATGTTGCTCTGAATTCTGACAAACATACACATACACACACACACACACATTCTTAAATTTAGTGACTGCAGAAAGGATTGTTCTTTGTAGGCTGGGGACAAGTAGCTGAAACATAAAAGAGGCTCTTGATTGTGGTGTTTTTGTTGTATTGCGTCCCAGTTTATTTTATACAAGCAAAATTCAGAAGTATTGGTGTGGAGAATCTTTTCAAGTAAGCCTCCTGAGCATGAGTCAGTAATCTTTTCAAAATTTAACGTGGACCATGTAAGTAGATCCTGCTTTTATAGATGCGTATATTTCTTTCTTTTAATCTTAGGGTACAGCTTGTATGTATTTCAAGCGTTTTTATCTTAATAATTCAGTAATGGAATATCACCCCCGGATAATAATGTGAGTATAAATTTGTCTTTTTGTTTTCATTGAAGATGTTTATAATGTGTGGACATTTGTCTGTGGGAATTATATGAGTTTATTGACTTAATTAAGGCCAGTTTAGTCTTGATTTTTTTTTTTTCCTATTTGAGTGTAAGGTCTCCTTCCTTGCCATTATCGTCTATCTTGCTAATGGCATTTGAACTGCTGTTTGTCTACCATTCACAGAATTTTACTAATACCACTGTCAATGGCGTCTTTATGCTCCCGATTGTTCAGGCTAAGAATCTTCTGTGGTAATCACTTTCTCCACTTTCATCAGTTTACCGTAGATCCTGTAGCTTCATATCAATTTTGGTTAAGAAAATTTGGTTTCTTCTCTTTACTAAGCATTATACTTACTAAAGATAAGGACAGAATTAGTATAGGAGTCATCACCAAATTTGCTGTCATTCATGCTTCTGTTTTTGTTTTTTCCCTTTATTCTGTTCATTCTGTTTTCCTACTCTATTCTCAGGCCTTTATTCTGACTAGCTTCTGAAAGCTGTGAGCAGTGGCCTTCCTACTAGTTCCCCTTTCTGACCTTAACTTAGTACTCAGGTGCACTTCCTGCTTGTCCATAAACTGGTAACTACTCAAAGAATTTGAGACTTCTACTGATGACCTTCTGCAGTGTTAATTATGTTACCTGTCTTCTTTGGTCACAAGGTACATACATGTGTACTATTTTGTTTTTAAATTAACTCTTCATTTATATTTCTTGATATACACTACTTTTATTCTTTATTTTGTTCTAAGTTTCTGGCTGAATTTTATGAAGTTAATGTTGACTAAATGCTGGAGCAGTATTAGATGATGGCTCTACTTAACTTACATTTCTCTTAAGTCTCCTAATGAATAAAAGTTTGAAGAGGAGCTCATTTTTAACTTACATTTCATTTTTTAATGTCCTGCAGTGTCTAGCATAGTCACATGTAAATATTAAACAATGTACAAAGTACTTTAAGGAATATTTACGTATTTCTGCCCTCCATTATTTCTTCATGTAGGCTCACTTGTGCATTTTTGGCGTGCAAAGTAGATGAATTCAATGTGTCTAGTCCTCAGTTTGTTGGAAATCTTCGAGAGAGTCCCCTTGGGCAGGAGAAAGCACTGGAACAAATTTTGGAATATGAACTACTACTTATACAGCAGCTTAATTTTCACCTTATAGTCCACAATCCGTATCGACCGTTTGAAGGCTTCCTCATTGATATAAAGGTAAACTTACTGATAGGAAATGAGCTAATATATGTACTCGTTTGTTATTCTTTGCTAAGAAGAACTGAAAACTAACTAGTAATATTCTAAATGGCACAGTATATTTGCAACTTGAGAGTCTGTGCTGGCTCTTCTAGGGTAATAGTGTTCAAACTTTAATGTGCCTTAGAGTCCACCTGAAGAGTTTGTTATCTTAGATTGTTAGATAGGAATTTCCAGGTTTCTGGTTTATTAATCTGTTGTAGGAGATTGTGAGTTTATAGTAATGTTCTTAAAGAATTATGGTAATTCTTCTAATTGATGTATATTGTCATAGATCTGGGCCTAGAGACTTACAGAACCTTAAAAAGGTACCAACCTGAAACTAAATTATAAATGGCTCCTACTTTTAATGTTTTATGAACTTAGGTCACAAATATAAGCACCAAAATTATAAGTAAATAGCTGGGTCCTCGGGAAGTTTAGGCTGCAGGATCACTTGAACCTGGAAGTGTGAGACTAGCCTGGCAATGTAGTGATACTGCACCACTAAACATGTAGCACAGATAAGTGCATGTGCATGTTTTATGTATAGAATTTATATTTATGTATTTATATGTGCCATGTATTGATACATAGGTAAATATTGACATAGTCAACTTAAGTTGTTGAAAAGTCTAAGTAAGGTTGAAGAGAAGTCAAAAACTGGTTTTTCTCAGTTAAGCAGCTATGGATATTGTTTATATGTCTATGTGCTAAATATGTTTGAGTATTCAGCCTAGAAACAAGACAGTACATGACAACTTTCATAGGCCTTACAGTTTAGTGTGTTAGATAGCTATTAGTGTACTAAATTTTATAGAGGGAAATATAAATACTCTATAAGAAGATGGCCAATTGAAAGGCAAGGAAGACATTGTTGAGAAAGCATCACTTGAAGTGAAATTCAAATCAAGAGTAGGAATCAGGTGCCAAAAGAACATCCCACCAGAGACCTTCCTAGTGGATCCTTCACTGGCATTAGAACCTAAGGACAAGCAGGCAAAAAAGAGTAATGCGTGAATCAATCCCATACCAGTTTGGATTCACAGGGGTATTTATTTTAGGGGAAAACTTACAGAACATGGGTCAGTCAGACTCGCTGGTGCAAGAGCCGGAACCAAGGGAGCTGAGGCTTGCCGCTCTTTTTTAAAGAGAAATAGACCACGCTCCAGTTGGCTGGTATTTCAGTGACTGAAGGAGCAGAAGGTGCTCCTGCAGCAAAAGAGGGCCTTCTTTCTTCCATGCCCTGTAAAGGCTTCCAGCAGAAGGCGTGACACCGATTAGGAGCAGATCTTTCCACCTTAAAAGATCTGGTAAAGGTGTATCTTAGTACTTCAGAAGTCTGGATTAGACCGGGATCTTCCCCCTTCAAATGATTTCATTAAGCAGAAATCCCTCACAGGTGTGCCCAGCCATTTTTGGCTTCATTTAATTCCTGATTAGTCAAAACAGCCATCACAGCATCTGATAAGATTGGACATCTGTATGTGTTATGTATTGTGCAGAGAGGGGTAACAGTGAGGATTGCTCATGGGAAACATTTAAAGGGCAGCTGAACAATGAAGAAACTCCTAAGGGACTACACTTTATACAGGGTTGTAAACAAAGGGAGTAGAGTGTGCTTTTGTAAGAAAGCTCATCAGCTTTCTAATTCTGCTCAGATCAGGCAGAGAAAAAGTAGGTTAATAATGTTTGCTGAGTTTAGTACCAGAAAGGTCATTTATGATTTTGTTGAAATTTGTCTTTGAAGTGTAGAAGGAAAAGAAGAAGATTGGTAGCTTTGTGGGAATAAATTGAAAGAAAACAGACTGTAGAGATGGTTTACCATAAAGAGACTTAACAGGGTTCAATTTCCAGCACCTACATGGCAGCTCATAGATGCCTGTAATTCTAGTTCCAAGGGACCCAGTGCCTTCTTCTGTCCCTCTTGAGCATCAGGCATGCATGTAGTGCACAGACATACATACATGCAGGTGTATGTAGCGCACAGACATACATGCAGGCAAATACCTATACACGCCATATGCATCAAAGTAAATAAAATTTAAAAAAAATTATAATGAAAAGGAAGGAGAGTTCCAGAACTCAGAATTGTGTCTGGCCAACTTGAGCTACATAGTAAGATCCTGTCCAGGAAGGGGAAAATAGGGGGAAAAAAATGTGTGTTTATTATGTTTTCTTAATGACTAGACACTAGATGAATATGTTATTGTGTGAATTATATCACTGTCTTCCACCTTTATTTATTGTCCTTGGCTAAGTGCTACTTGCATGGAGCAGTCATATGTTCTCTTAACAGTGGCTTCTGTTACTCAATTATGGGCCTGCATGATGTATTTTATAATTAGAGTTATTGTTAGTAAGTAGAATATGCTCTAAAATAATAATTTACAATATATAGTGCAGCAGTAACATAGACCAGTAATATAGTTGCTTATCATTTTTCAGAATTTTGTAATGTACATGCTTGTGTCTTATGCTGAATTGTAGTCTTGTTTGCACAAGTATCACTACAAACGTACTTGTTATGGATGTGAAATCACTAAATAATAGGAAATGTTCAGCTGCATTAGAGCCTTGTAGAACTCATGTCTCTTACTATTAAAAGAAAAATTTGTTTTGTGCTCTAGAGATGGATACTTTGTATTGGTATGGATCTTGGTTTATTGATACAAGTTTTAGGTCAATTTTGTTATATGTAATTTCTGCTCTTGATTAAGGCATTGTATTTGTGCAGTTCATTTAAAAATGCAATGTATAAATTAAGAAATACAGGTTAATAGATAATCATCTGTAATAGTCAAGATTATAGTCATGTTAGTTAGGTTTTCTAGATAGAGATTTATTTCAGTTAGTTAGGTATTCTTCAAATCTTTCAGAGACCTTCAGAATATGGCATTCAAATGTTTTAAGAACTTAGGACTTTTCATAACAATGAAACACATCTGCTCCTGGCAGCAACAATCTACTTCAAGAGGAAGATGGGCATCAAAGAGTCTCCTTATAGAGTTTGCTAGCCATTTGGGCAAGAAACTGCTCTTGCCTGGACTGTTTGATGAACTGAACATGCAGGACCCACAGAGAGATGACTGCTAAACTTGCCTAAAGGTGAGAAAATCCATCGAGGTTCCTGCTTCATGAAAGAGTCCGCTAGACATTCTACAAGACACATAAAAATATGACTGGCAAACTGCCAATATAGATGGAACTGAAATTTCCTGCTTAATGGAAAAGTCTGCTGGACATTATGGGCCTGTGGGCTGATGATGGATGCCCCAACGGTACAGAAGAAGTTTGGGTGACTGTCCAGGCAGCGAGATGTCTCTTGTCAATTTTGTAGCACAAAACTTGCATACATAACTTCATTAAACAGTTTCTCTTTGAAGTGGAAAGAGGTAAGATGGAGGAAATACTGAATATAAAAGTGTTTAGTTTTGCAGAAAAGAATCGACACGTTTCAATACTGATCCAAGGAGCTAGTAATAAAAAAAAAAGGACTAAGGAGGAAGCAGAGACCATATAATAGAGCTATGGATTCTTTATGAACAATATACAGGAGATTAGCATGGGGTTTGAAACAGTACAGTTAGCCTTAGAAAGGTGGAGAAGCTTTTGTGTTGGCATGAGAAAGGGAGCGTCTGAATGAAGATGCTGTTGTATCTGGGGATTTGGTGGAAATAGTGCTTTTCCTTTTTAAATGCAGAGATAATTTTCCACAGAATGGTGGTTTTAAGGTCTAGTAAAGACATTAAGGTAGAAAATACCATCATCAGTAACAAATGGAAGAACAAATTTTCTAGGACAACATTATATTGGTAGACAAAGCTGAGAGACATACCAAGATGAGTGAATCTGCGTTTATAGTAGTATCCCAAGACCGCTTTTGTAGAGTTTTCTGGCAGTGCCAAGAAATCAAAAGTATAGAAATTGGATTCATGTACTGTTGAAATTGGTGCTAGCTGCCTTTCCAGAGGAACTGAGCTTAGTTCCCAGCACCCACATCTGGTGGTTCAAAATTGACTGTTACTCCAGCTGCAGGAGATCCAACACAACACCCTTTTCTGTTTCTGTGGGCACTGTGCATGATGCATGCACTCACACAAACACAGATAAAAGTAAAAATGAATCTTTAAAAGTACAGGAAAGAAGTGATTGAAGACTGATAAGTGAGATCAGGTAGAAGGATTCATACCCCAATGGTCTGAGGTTTGCAAGAACAGCATGAAAAAAATAAGCAAAATCCTGAGAAAAGGGGGCATCTGCAGTCGGAATGGAGTGGTTCCATTATTTCAGGGTCAGAAATTTGGGGGAAATGACTTGGCCATGTGTGGCTCCACATTTGAACCTGATATTTACAGGTTGTCTTACTGCTTCAGGACTTGACTATGAGCATCTCAAGTCAGTCTGAGGGATTGAGACTTAAGTAATTGACAAGTGCTATAAGGTCTCAGATTTCGTGTGCATAGTCTAAACACATTTCTTTAGCTATTTGGGAAGGCTGATGGATCCAAAATCATTTCCATTTATTTTCCTCAACAGTATACATTAGGACATATTTTCTACTACAGTGATAAGGTACAACAGTTCCTAATTTGACATTACAGTTGCCTGTATTGCCTGGTTCGACTTGGATCTTGAATGCATTAGAAACTCTAGGAGCCTACCCATCTAACTTTGAAAAGGACTAAATTTGAGAATAGTATTAAGTATTACTGTCTTGAAGCATGTGTTTCTGTTTTGTTCTTATAGGCATATATTTTCTAATCATGGTTCTGGTTCCAAAAGTGTTTGAAAGCCATATCAGAAAAAACAGAATGAAATGTTGAGAATTTGATGTCTATAATTAAGCTACATTCAATTAATACATACAAACAATCTAACAGTGAAAGAATAGTTTTTGGGACATAGGAAAGGAGCTACTTTCAATAATCATTCTTTATTAAGCCTCTGCTAGTTGCTGTATGTTTTTTAATGGTTATTGATCTTCAGTAAACTCTCAGAAATTGTGACATCTGTATACTTTCTTTCTAGACTCGATACCCCATGTTGGAGAATCCAGAGATTCTGAGGAAAACAGCTGATGATTTTCTTAGTAGAATTGCATTGACAGATGCTTATCTTTTATACACACCTTCACAAATTGCCCTGACTGCCATTTTATCAAGTGCCTCTAGGGCTGGAATTACTATGGAAAGGTATCGACTTGTTTATGTTAATTCAAATTTAAGTTTTACATCTTAGTAGAGTCTGAGTTTTTAAGTAGGGTTCATTAGATAATTGTCTTTGTATATGTCTTATATCAGCTAAGTTTCATGACTGAAGAAATGAAACTGCCTTTAAAAAGGTATTTAATAAAGTACTGTTGAGCTAAGAGAACACATTTCTGACTAAGGTAGAAGCGAAACAGGTAGTTTTGGAAGACAACTATAGCTGTATGACAGATTTACAAGTTGATGAACTTGTAAATGCAGCAAATCTGCTTTGTTGTATCAGTCATGTGTTGGAGAGCATGTGTAACACATTCAGTAAGGATTTGTAGAAGTAGTGTCTTAGGGTATATCCACATGAACACTGAAGTTAGCCATAAATAATGTGCAGCACATACACAGAGATGCAGACATTTCAGTGAGTACTTTATGTGAATTAAATGCACTTGGTTTTTTAATATTATCTTATGCATATATTAATTCTTAAACTTGTAACAGTACTATAGGTATATTACTAGAGAGCTAGAAGAATAGTAAATTAGAAATATTATATTCCAGTTATTTTCCAAATTATACTACTTTTTATTGTTTATAATTTCTTATGATAATGTTTTTATTTCATTTTTATAAATAGCTGAAGGAGGTAAAATTTTCTAAGCTTAAACTATCTTACATACTTACAGTTTCAAAACACAGTAGTAAGACAGTAGCAAACATGAACAGATGTAATTTAGTTTTTGGCCTCTCATTGGGAATATTTCTTATCATTATAGAAGTACCAATATTCCTGACCCTCAGATACCATATTTTATGTAAGGCAGCATATATACCAAGCTAGCTTTATAAAACTTAAATAGTTACAAATTTTGAAACACATTTGCCTCTAGGGTAAGGGATTGTGACCACCTTCTATCTATGTGTACATGAAAATATATGCCATGAGTAGAAGTGCCTGTGAAGACAGAAGGGTGTCAGATCGGCTAGAGTTAAGAGTTAGGTAGTCATGAGTTACCAGGTTTGGGTTCTGGGAACCAGACTTGAGTCTCTAGAAGAGCAGAATGTGCTGTTAAACATTGAGATATCTCTTCAGCCCCAAGTACAACTCTATGAAGATTTAATCCTATAGTGAGTTATATCCCATTTATTTACTAAGCAAACATTTAGTTAGCTTCTGCTATGTTACACCTAGGTACAAGAATAAAACCCTGCATTAAATAGGAAAGACATCCATGTCTATAGTTGACTTGTCTTCTTAGGTGTGGAGCCTCTGTAAGAGATAGCTTATCTTTAATTTCAGCCTGTAGGAGATGGAAACAGGAATGTCAGGAGTTAAAGGTTGTCTTCAAAAGCTATAATGAGTTCTAACTGGGCTACATGAGACCCAGTTTTTAAAAAAAAAAAAATTAGAACGATATAAAACTGAAAGAATAAAAAGAAACATAAGGAAGATGGCAAATGTGTAACAAAACAGGAATAAGGATATTAGTTAATATGTACCATAATTACCCAAACCAAAGTTTCATATATAGTTTAATCTAGATAGTTTAAGATACTGCAATAACAGTTCTTAAAACTCTTTATTCATAACCTATTTATCTGGGAGAAAAAATATTTTTCATATTTATGTCTAAAGATCTAGGATCATTTAGGATTATAGCACTTATACATGATGTATTTGCATGTAAAATTTCAGAGGAACTAAAATTTAAACAAAATGTAATTAGGGTTTATAAAAACATTCGTAGAAAGATTTTAACATGTTTGCTTTGGACTTGATAAGATGTAATAGAATTACAAAGCATAAGATGATATATTGTTGATAGATTTCTTGTTAATGCTCAAATCCAGCCACAGGTAGAGTGACATTGTTACTAAGGGGACCATATTCTGTATCTTCTACCTTTGATCTTAGTTCATCTGTCTACAGTTCACACTCCTCATGAATCACATAAAGTTAGGCTGAGAGAATACCTATATCGAACATTTAATATAAAATGATACATATTGGTCATTAGTACTGTTATCTCTGAAAGGTTATACATAATAAAATTTAAATAAACTTTGAACAGTATACATCTCTTAAGCTAGCAAAAAATGGTAGTAAATCTTTCAGACTATAATAGCTGTAGGTTTTAGTACTGTGGAGTTTTCCAATATTATGTAATATTTGTAAGTAATTTTAAAACTACTTGATGAAATAAAAATGGAGGAAAATAATTTATGCCTTGTATTTTCAGTGTGCTGTGTGATTTCAATGAGTTAAAATGTCGTTTTTTTCCCTTCAATAGCTATTTATCAGAGAGTCTGATGCTGAGAGAAAATAGAACTTGCCTGACACAGTTCCTGGATATAATGAAAAGTAAGTGCTATTACAGAGCTGCTCTCTAAGTAAATGTTTTAGTATTTAATGTGCACTGGTAGATTGTTGTTTACATTTACTTTTATTGAATTACTGTGTCATGATGCATTGAAGATATATTGGTGAGAATAAATAAAAGGTATATGGAAGGAAATCCTTTTTATATGTAAAAAGAGAATTTGACTATCAGATTTAGAAAAGACCTAGTCAAAACAAGGTTCTTTTAAAAGTATCTCCAAATATGTGAGAGACATTCAGACCCAAGGGAACTAACTGCAAGGTAAGTTTACAAAATGACAGATATTAACTAGTTAATATTTTGTTACTAATGCAAAGGCAGTCATTTTCAAGTGGAGTTGAGAGGGATGAAGTGTCAATTTCAGAAGACACTGATGGTTACAGCTTAGAGTTTGATAAAAATGTAGCTTGTCAGATGAGCCTGGATTAGGATTTGGTGGTAGAGCTCATCTGGCATGTTCCAATTTTGGTTCAGACCCTAGCACCAAAACAACAACAACAAAATCACTACCACCACCACAACAACAACAACAACAAAAAAAACATGGCGGGTGCTGCTAAAACAGTGGCCCCTAAAGGAGGTCTATGTCTTACCTTTGGAGCCTGTACTTGTTACCGTAAATGAGAGTTGACGTTGTGAATGCTAGTATCAAAAGCTGCGGGTGGTGCCTTGAGTTACTGAAGAGACAAATCCTCGTGAGCAAAAGGTGGAAAGAAACTTGAGACAGCCGTAAAAAAAAGTGTCATGACAGCAAGAGAAGTGCAGTCTTGGCCTTAAAAATTGTAGCAGCCTAACTAAAAAACCAGAGTGCTGGCAGTCACCAGAAATGAACAAATAGAATAGATTTTCATCAGTGCCTCCAGGCAGAATTTAGCTCTTTGCCAATACTATGATATTGACCCAGAGAAACAGATTTCAGATTCCTGGACTCTATAAAGAGTGAGAGAATACATTCCGTTTTTGTAATACATGAACTTAGTGATAATTTTAATAGTAGCCTTGGGAAACTTTTTAGAAAGACTTTGATAACACATATTAAAAACTTAGTAGTGCTGGTGTTGAGAAATCAGCTTTAGAAATTCTGATTAGAATTTCTGCTTAGTTGACCGGCGCATAATATACACACAAACAAACACATATATAGTATATATCACTCATATGTGTTTTTGAGAATGTAGCCCAGGCTGGACCTAAGCTTGGAATCTCTTGCCTCTATCTCGTGAGAGTAGAGATTGTAGGATATGCCACCATACTCAGTTCTTCGTTACCTGTCTTGGCAATTATTTCATAGCTACTGAGATGTACTTCAGAGGTAAAGGCTTACTTGCCTTTTAAACCAGTAAAATACAGGATTGCAGACCTTTATTTAGGTGATAGCAAATATGTATAAATTTTAATGTTTATTTTAAAAACTGGGAATCAAGGTATGCAGTTCTCATGCCATGGTATGATTCTTCGATTGAAGTGATTTTGGAGTAATGGAGTAAATGTTTAGTTTTTTTTTTTTTCTTTGCATAAACTGTAAATCTTCGTATTTACCACTAGAGGGTTTACTTCCAAAGCTAATTGTGATTTGTAATAGTAGTTCCTAACAATTTGGTAGAGGAAGATAAATAAGGATAATACACTGTTTATTTGAAGCTTAACGTTTAATTACTGGTTTCTCACCTTTATTTTGTTCCACTTTAAATAAATATGACACAAGGATACTGCTTCAGAAAATACTCAGCTTTAATATGAAGATNGGGGCAGGGACAGATATTGCCCTAAAGATTTTGAAATAAGTACTGATTTCCAGTTTAGTCACCAGTCTAAAGCACATGACCACACAATAAGTCCCTGGACTTATTCATGTTTACCTAAAAAAAAAAATCTTGAAATTTTTATTTAGTTTATTATGTTGAATGACGTTAGAGCATAATTTGTTACAGAGGTATTCTTTTTTTAATTTCGTTTTTTATATGTTAGGGTTTTTTTTTGGTTAAAAGTATATTCCTATGCCACCATCTGTTAATGAATATGATTGGTGGCACAGAATAAAGAATATTTACTAAATCACATAGAGGTTACTTCAAATGCCCTAAATTGAGCAAAATATAAGCATGGAGGTACTTATAAAAATCTACCTAAATCATACAGCATGTTTCTGTTTATGCCATATATAATGAAATGAATAGCAGATACCTATTACTTGAACTTAAAAGACTAGTGCTTCTTGATTTTAATATAGAATGCAAATCTGTCTTTTATTTCCTAAAGCATGGTGTTTTCCTTTCTTTATATGAAAGCAAATTTTGTCTTTTTGAGACAGGCTGTCCTGAACTCACTCTGTAGATCAGGGTGGCCTTAAACTCAAGAGATCTGCCTGCCTCTGCTTCTGGAGTGTAGACATTAAGGTTGTACCACCACACCCAGCTTAAAACAGACATTATTAAATATTTCTATATTTCTATTTAGGCATGAGAAACCTAGTAAAAAAGTATGAGCCACCCAGGTCTGAAGAAGTTGCTGTTCTGAAACAGAAGTTAGAGCGATGTCATTCTGCTGACCTTGCACTTAATGTGGTTACGTAAGTAGTCATGACTCCAAAGTTGTGTTCATAAAGTCATTGAGTTCAACTTTATTTAAATTATTTTACTGGTACCAAGTTTTTTAATCTTAGGACCTACCTAAATCAGATATATATATTTCAATTTAGTATACTGATTTTGCTTGTGCCGGGAGTTGAACCTAGGGTCTTATCCTCATCCCTAGACTGGCCAGCCGGTGTGTACATTTCTAGTGGGAGCAAACACAAGGAAGAAATATTTGGCTTTCATCCCACAGTTCTGATTCTGATCATTACTGTGTAACTTGGCTTTCTTTTCCACTTCATGGAATTACTGGGAGTCAGTCTTCTATGAGAGCCTTAAACTTTCATTTTTTTTTAACCAACCTTATAGGTGGTTTGAAAAACAAGTATACTGTTTTAGACTTAATCTTTGTTAACTAGTAAGGAAACTTGGCTCATTTCTGTTTGAGGAAACATTGTATCAGAGAACCAATAAAATGTACTGTTAAGTTACTTTCTGTAAGTATAAGAGCATACTTAATAGGCTAATGTGGAATTTACCATAAAATCTGTTACACTCTGCATAAAAGATCTCGAGATTTAACTCTTTTTAAGCATGTCATAGGAATAATGCAAGTAAAAGAATTTATCTTTTGTGGACTCACTCGAAAGTTCTATTATTTAACATGTAATGGGAATTAGCTGAAGAAATTATTGAAGAAATACTAACAAATATGTATGGAAAGCTGAAGAGCATACCAAGGACTTCAGTGCAAGGCAGCCATGACTTAATTCCTTAAGGAATTAAGTGTAATTATTTATAGGACTGTTGTCTTCCAGTAAATCTTGAAATCTTTAGGTTTCAGTATCGTATTTCTGATATGAAGCCCAGCACCCACCAATCTATTCCCCACCTGTTTTTTTTTTTTTTCTAGAAGTAGTTACTAGAACACTGAATGCCCTTTAGTTAATGTAATTATCTTGTTTTCATTCTGTGATAGAAAAGTTAAGTGGCTATGGCAGAAACTCTGTGTGAGTCTCCCTCTTCCTCAGGGATCCTTGGCCATCAGTCCATGAGGGAGGAGGGAGCGAAGCAGGGTTCAGATGGCTGTGAACATGAACAGAAATAGCCTTCCGGGAGACTGCTTCAGTGTTACAGCTCACCTTTATTCCAGAGTAAGACACACATATAAATGGGAACAGCAGCTGGGGCATCACCTCATGTGTATTTGGCAACAAGCTCGTATCAGACAGCTGGAGCACCATTCCTAGTTATCAATGGACACACTTGAGGTAGGTAGGGCAGGCATCCAGGTGTAAGGACAGCTTCCTGGTAAGGTCAGGCTTCTTTCTGAGCCTAGACCTATGCAGGTAGGGAGGGAACCCTGCTAGAAAGGGTTCCTCCATTTTGCACTGGGCCCAGAGAGTTGTCTGGACATGGAATGCAGACTTAAGTGCAGGGTACTCCAACTTGTAAGGCCTGCAAACCCTGAAGTACTTACTAACTTGTCCTCCTCATTGGACCATTCTACTACTAATTCTGTTCTAGCTAATAATGAAATGGGTCATCACCCAAAATTTCCAGAGTACATTTTACTCCAAGTTGCCATTTGCTCTGTACTCTACCAAGGAAGTTCTACATTTCTGTGAAGTGTTTTGAGTATTTCTTTGTATAGGAAGGTCTCAAAAATATTACAGACATAGGTTTTTTATAAAATACAACCAAAATTTCTACAAAGTAAAATAGACTTAAAATTATAATTTTATTTTATTAGATTTAGTGGTCAGAGTCTGTCAGATTGTTGTGTAGTTTCTAAGTACACGTTGTCTGTTCTACTCATCTCAGTGCAGGCTGAAAACAGTTCATGACACCACCAAGTAGCACTACTTCAGCACAAAGAATTTTTTTTCCTTGATCATTAGGATTTTTGCCTCTGTTTCATTATACAGTAACTGTATTCTTCTATGTCGCTCATTGAATAAAAACCAAAGTTCCCTTTGAGCAAACTGCAAATCTGAATCATGAAGTAACTTACCAGATGGGTCTATCCTCTGCCAATCTTTTCTGTGTATAAATGCATGAAATACTTCGTGTGTCCACATCATGCATTTACTATTACTAATCTTAAAAAAGTATCACCTTGATCATTTGCATTTACCCAATCACTATGAATACTATGTTTCCAGGTTTGATAGCCATTTAAATTTATTTATTTTTTCTGTATTGGTTCTGATATTCTTATGTTTTCTATATTCTCACCTTTAAATTTTTAGTAGTTATTTTATATAGTTTTTTCACTACTTTGATACTTACTTGCTTTTTTAATAAAGAAATGCTTATGAATGTTAAGGTTTTCCCCTCCAATATTAGTTTTGTGTAGTTTGCTTTTGAATATTTCATGGTTTTCTTAGATGACAATTTTTTTATCATAGGTAAATTCAAAGATGTAGCAGCTGATTTATTTATTGTGTTGAGTACAGATGCAAGTGGGTGCCTGTGTGTAGGGCAGAGGACAGTCTGTAAGAGTCCTCTTTTTCCATATGGGTTGGGATAACAAACTTAGGCTGTCCAGCTTGGTGTCTAAACCCAGTGAACCTGTCACCAGATTTGTGGAGCCACTTTTGCCTGTCTGCTTTAATCACTGATGTATATGATACCATTCTTAATACCATAGCTTTTATACTGTGCCTTTTATTGTTGCTAGGCGTGAGACCTAGTGGGCCTCAAACTCTGTCCTTCTGCCTCACCCACAAAAGTGTTCACATTTCAGGTGTGTACTACTTCTGGGCTCCACTTGAGTATGCTTTTATGATAACTGAGGCAAGATCTCCCAACACATTTTTCCTCTATATTCTCTTTGCTATGTTCACTGTAAGCTCAGGATTATCCCAAAATCTTATTAGAGTAACTAGTACTGAGTTTTATAGCTATGCTCAGCCTCTTTATAATCTTTGCAGGTTGTTGCTACAATAGGTTAAGTATTGCTTTTATAGTCACAAATAACCTCTTTCCAGTTTTTAGTGCCTGTTATTCAGTAAAGAAATATTTTTGCTTTTGAAGATAAAGTCTCACTGTGTTAACCTAGGCTAGCCTGAACGTAAGGCAGTACTATTGCCTCAGTTTGAGTGTTGGCATTATAGCTGTGAGCTACCATTTTGGGTTATAGCTCACATATCCTTGCTGGTTCCTATTTTCTATGTTGCCACCATCAGGTTTGCTAATTGCTTAATTATAGGAAGAAGAGGAAAGGCTATGAAGATGATGACTATGTATCAAAGAAATTCAAACAAGAAGAGGTATGTTTACTCCTAAAGGCAAGCTTTTATATAATCTTTACATTTTTCTGGCATGACCTAAGTAAGATGTACTTACTGGAGTAGTGTAAGCATTATAGACAGGTGGGGCCATGCATGGTTTTTTTTTTTTTTTTGGGGGGGGGGGGGGGGGGGGGGGGTGAGACAGGTTTCTCTGTAGCTTAGCAATCTGTCCTGGAACTAGCTCTTATAGACCAGGCTGACCTCAAACTCACAGAGATCCGCCTGCCTCTGCCTCCGGAGTGCTGTGATTTAAGGTGTGTGCCACTACCGCCCGGCTCAAGGCACCATGAGTGTTTTAAACACTGTCCTGCTCAAACTGGTCTTGATCGCCCAATACTCTTACTTCAGTCCTCCCAACGAGTATCTCTGAAGTTTGAAATTACAATTTTTTACTCACTCTTTATGTGCAGTCTGAATTAAGAAAAAAACAAAACCGAAAAGAAACTTTATTTGAAAGATTTATTTTGGGTACCAGTCAGGATGGTTAGAATCCACAGCAGGGAAGGTGAGGCAGAGGGCGAGAGCACTTGCGGCAGTTGCTTGTTACAGGTTGCTGACCAGGAAGCAGGACACAGGCTGGCTTTTTTTTTTTTTTAAAAGGGATTTGGTTTTTTTACACTACTGTATGAGCCAGTTCTAAAATTTGAAGAGCCCTTCCTATGTTAGAAGGCAGTGGTGCTAAATTTAATCTCTTATTCTCAAAGGATTCTTCCCCTTTGCCTTACCCCAGTTTTTAAAATTGTCTCTGAAAGTCAAAGATAAATAAGGAGAGGCAAAAGGATAGCCTTCATAAAACTCCTGCTTAGAGTGGGTGGCTGAGTCCTGTCATAAAAGTCAGGAGCTGAACTTAGTAGCACACTCCTGCAGTCCTAGTCCTTGGGAGGCAGGAGGTTTAAGGCTGGCTGCAGCCCCAAGAGAGGTCTCAAAAAATAAACAAATAAATCTACAGTAGACTGTTGTCAGTCAGCATTTTCTTAAAGGGAAGTAAAAAAAACTGGCTCACTGCTTCAATGGTACCCTTACCACATTTTTCCCCCTTAGGAGGAATGGACTGATGATGACCTGGTAGATTCTCTCTAACCATCTGAAATGACTACGGCAGTCCTAAGCAACAGAAGTAGGAAGCATGTGTGACATTTAACTTTCTTTTTAGTACAATGTGAAAACGTCAAAATATATTAAACCTTTCTAATTATAGTTTTTGTTTGTGATTGCTTTATATAAAATATAACTTCAAAAGAGGCTGAACACCATTTATTTTGGATAATCATAACTAAGATTAGTAGCAAAATGCCCTCTATGGTGGCCAAAGTCATACTGTGGTGCGCTTCCTTATGCTGTTTTGAACAAAATGTGATTAAACAAACTTATCCATTTAGAAGAAATTCAGAAAAACCAAACTTAGTAACAGTAAATTTTAGAAGTGCTAAGGAAATAGTTTTCATTCTCCAGAAGGTCTTACAAATGGCTTTTCAAAATGTTTCTTCAATAGACTGAACTATTTATGAATTACTGTGAGCTATAGAGTGTATTGGGCAGTTATTTAGTGCTTAGGTGCTAAAAGTTAAATAAGTTACTGACATCTGGGTTTAAATAAAATAAAATTATTGAGTCTAGATAAAAATCTTACTTAAGTTATAGCAAATTATAGTCAGTTTTATCATTAAATGATTTATAAGTGAATCCATATAAAATAGGCATTACTGTCACTAGAAATTTGTAAATGAAATACTCAAAAGCTTAAAAATGAAATATAAAAACCCACAACATGGAATTACATTATTTAGATATACCTTTGTTTTTCTGTGACTTTCATGTGTACTAGTCTAGCAAGTAGAAAATGGAAATGATCATGATGCCTACTCCTGGAAGGCCTACCCACAGCAGTGCATGTATTTGTTGTTTGTTAACACTGTTGTAGTGTAGCAAGTAGTAGATATTACCTTAGGACCACTGTACAGATAGGTATGTGTTTATTAGGCCAGTGTTTTGTTTTGGTTTCTGTTTTTTTGGCTTTTTCTCTACTCCCCTCCCCCCACGAAAACTGCCTTGAAGAAACTATGAAACTCAACTACCTCAAATGTAAATCTACCCAAAATCTACCCAGCTTTACATACTCAAGGATACATTTCCCAAGAGGGTGGGTAGGTACCATTTTAGTTCTGTCTAAAATATGGTGATTTATGCTCATGTTCATCTCTAATAATTACTTGTATGGCTTGAGTTTCTGCTGTTTTCTTTCTTGTTCTGGAGTAAAACTGATAAAATGTAATGCTTTATAATAGACTAAAAACCAAAGCATATACACCCAAGTATAGTTCAAATTAAGCAACATGATAGACTATAGACAGAACTGCAAATGTTCAGTGTGTCTTCTGTTTTTCTTTTAGAACACTAAAGTTTGACACCAAAGCAGGGTTCATATGTACCTCTGAAAATTTTCTACCCAGCCCCAGTTTAAAAAAAAAGTTTGAAAGGTATAATTTCGTCACTGATCACCTAGCTACTACAGGGCCCATGAAGGTAAGAAACAAGCTTCCCACTCCAATTTAAGACATGAACATGTCAGTAAAACACAAAAATAAGGATAAATCTTTCAGATTTCTTTAAAAATAAATGGTTAAAAAGGATAAGCATGTCAGGAATGGCAGAAAGGCCATCACGGCTGAACAGTCAAGTACAATTAGTGAGGATAAACTAAAATGCTTTAAACTAGAGTTTGGACCTTTACCTATCTTTGAAAGTCCTTATCTACATTAAACAGTCTTTACCCCTTCCACCTTGCAAACCAAGGAAATAAGATGAGTTACGGTCATAGTGCAGCCAATAAGAACAGGAACTATAATGGATTATGGAGAGAAAGGGACTGCATTGATTACAAAGCAAAACACAGTCTGTGTTTTTTTTGTTTCAGTTAATCTGGCTGAAGCTAAATAAGGGCAGTAATTTAGCTTTATGGCTACATTCAGATCCATATTTAAGCCAGGGAAATCTCTCAATGGTAGTATTTAACACCTTTCGAAAGAATACATTGAGGCCTCTTCAGTTTGTTCCTCAGCAAAGGGAAATAAACCCTTGGTTATTTAACCTCTTTCACTATATACAGTATCTCTGAGGAATGCAATCAAATATTTTTGGAATCTAGGCCTTCAGGAAAACATTTTTATTGAGGGAACATTTTATTAATACCTTCCTTGGTGGTTCTTTTTAAACAAACAGGAACCTATTTTGATTACTAAAGACAGTCTGATACATATTGTTTTCTTTTTTTTTTTTTTAAAGTCTTCAGCACAAGACACGTTGCTTAACAAGTTGTACACTGAGTGAATAAATAAAATCCTTTGTGAAAGAAACAATAAAAATCCTCCGGGGCTTTATTCTCATATTAAAGCTTGAACTATCCCTAAGCAGAAAGAAAATTAGAATGAAGTTAAATAGTAAGATGATTAATTATGCAAGCTATCCCTTGATTTATTTTAACTTAACCCTGTGGATACTTCACAAAAAATACAAACATAAGAACAGATGAACTATACAATCTAAATTATCCAGCAGTAAAACACGTACAAGAAGTTCAAAGATGTATAAGTTGTTAAGTGGTTGATGAGGTTGTCTGCATAATACAGTAACAAAAAAAATCATCTTAGGATAGACACAAATATTCTAGCAGTTTGTCTAAACATAAAAGACATCAGTAATCTATAAAATGGTCAAATGGGTAACATGCATTGATTGGTACAGTGACCAATAATATTTATTGAATTTAAACTATTTACTTGTTGTAAACATTTTAACAAAACCATGAAATCTAAATACAGTCTTTGACAATTCCAACAAAATAAGTGGTATGTTTAAAAAATAAAGCTGATGAGCATATATTTATCCATTCTATATATTGTCTTTCAACAGTTCCAGGAAGAATAGCACAGTATTTTTAAAAAGTATACAGCAAGATTGTTCCTATTATAATGTCAAACTCTGGAAACTGTAAATACAAATAAATTCAGTGAACAGTCAAATGGTCATATTCGTAAGAAGTAAGAACAGTCTGTAATCCAGTTAAATTCTGTTGTTAATAGAATGCGTTTTCTTGTCAGTTGATTTCATAGTTCGTTTCCAAAAGACAACAAAACTTTGGCAATTGGATATAATGAAAATATATTTTCAAAGTTCAAGACATAGCTTTTTTTCTTTATTGTGAAAGTTGAACTGTACACCAAGGCTCAGAGTTTGGTAAAGATTCCATGTGGAAAAAGTGCAAATATTCTGCACAGATAGCTTACAAAGGTGCTGGCAGTTACTAAGCCAGCAGAATCTTGGGTTTTTGTTTGCATAGCTTACACATCACTGGAATGTGGAAAGGTGTGCTAATTTTTTTCTTTCTCTTTTTTTTTATTTTTTTATTTTTTTGGCAAGAGCAAAGGAGACATAGTGATGTGAATTCCCATGTTGGGGTGCTGATCCATGCAGAACACCAGGCTGCTTGCTACCTGACATCATTGGTTTTTGTATACTGGTTTTGTTTTTGTTGAAGCAGTTCTGTTATAGCCAGAAGTTTTTTCAGTACATGCTAGACACAAAGAAAAACAGTGTGGGTAAAAATCATTAAGCAGAGTGCAAAATTTCAATGCAGACATTTTAATTTAATAAAAACTATGTCAAACCAATGGTATTCTTAAGGACCTAGCATTCTACTCCTTACATAAAACTGGGTTCTGATTACTTAAACTGAACATTTTTAGTTGTAACCAAGAAAGAGACAATCTTATATCACTTTATATTTGCCATTATAAACCTCGGTCATAAGCTGTTTTAAGTGAAATCTTCGCCAGACAGGAAAGGAGTGCAGTGGTAGCATTTAGGATGTATGTACCTTGATTTATACTTCCCTATGCCTTTAAGCTCAAGAAAGACTGTCTCCAATGACCAACACTAGGTCAGTTAGAAACCCTTTCCAGGTCTAGTGCTTATTTGAATATCCCTACATCTGTTGGTAAGGACAGGAGAGATCTATTATGGACTATTATTTTTTAAGGTGTGACCTATGAGCCACACCAACTTGAATCATTATAATAAAGTATCATCTGTAGACATTTTTCAAAATTCTCATATATTTCTCCTGTGTTTGAGAAGTAACTTTGCTCATGGATACTTGGTGTGAGACTTAACTGAAGGACTAACACTCCTTCCTACTGAAAATAATTTACTTGGCACTTTTATTTGTATCACTTGCCATTTTTATGTGTACTATCTTTTAAGTATAAGCATTACCATTTTGTAATGACCTACCTGCTGTGCACCACGCTCATTACTGAGTGTTCTCAGTTCATCTGAATGAGCTACACAAATCTCATGCAGGGCTGCTAAGTCACGAGACAGGTCAGTTCTAGAATGTTCTGTAGTGTCCGGAAGTTCAGGTACATTCTTTAAGGGAATCATAAAACTACATTTAGAAATAAAAATCCTTGAAGTCTTTTCTAAAATTATCCTAACTACTTATAAAGCATTGACTTTCCTAATAATTTTTATTCAAATAATTTTGCTAAACAGGTTTTAGAACCTCTATTCACAAGGAAGAAAGCCAGATTCCATACTCTTCCATAGGATGACAGTGTCTTGAGTTGATTTTTTAGAGCGTATGTCAAATAAATTGTAACATCGTTAATTGCTGATTTGGATTAATACAATTTCAGTGTTTAGACTGAATAAAACTAAGATACTGTATGTAAACTGATGAGCATCTAAAGAGGAACTACATTAAAGTGTAATAAAGGGTTCCTTTGCAATTTCTATAAACTACTCAAGATAAAAATGTGGGATTACTGGGCATTATAGTGTTTAACATTCGTGGAGTAACTTAGCCATCATAATAAATTTAGATTACTGTATTACTTTAAATGCCAGTAATATTTTAGGCCTTAAACACTGAACATGTTTATTAATCTTAAATGTATTTTACTTTTTAGTGATAGTGCTTGTTAGACACTCCTAACTCAAAAGTTGAGCATTTTAGTTGTTTGGAGTGAAGAAATTAATTAAAATGCATTCATTTTAACTGAATCACTTATTTGATAAGTGATTTGATAAAAAAAATTGTAAGATGAAACACATCACAGTCTTGCTTACCTTCACAGAGCTTGAAGATTAGTAGAAACAACAAAAAGTTCAAGGAAAACTGACTAACTGTATTTTTATCGGAAATACTCCAAATGTAACTTTCACAGAAGTTTACTCAGAAGTTTCTTATAAATATGGAGCATATTATATTATGCTTACTTGCACCCCCCTTTTTTTTGTCAGAATGGTATGACAGTGGTGATATGTGCTTTGAAATGAATCACTGAGTTGGGCTATACTACTGTATTCCAAAACATAAGGCAACCCAGTCTTCAATAATTTTGATGACATAAACCTGGCTCAACACAAATTTTTCTCTGTGTACACACACTACAAAATGAATATATTTGTTTTAAAATTCATTCAGTCCTTGAAATGTATCTTTGGAATAATGTAGAAAATTTAACTTACTATTTAGGGTCTCAGAAATTATAAGCATATTCTTTAATTTTGTGTCATAATTTTATTTATAAAAATTCAAATGAGTTCTAATAATTACATTTTCATCTAGTTCTAACTTTAGGTTCCAATCTAACTGGCTTCAAATCTTATTTTAGCTACAACTTAAAAGAATGAAAAGATGATCTAAAATATGACTGGTTGAAAGCCACAATTGTGTAAGTGCATAAAAAAGATCTTACTTTGAACTTCTGATTTTAAAATCTAAAGGTTATTGCCATATTATAAAAAAGATTTTACTTTGAACTTCTGATTTTAAAATCTAAAGGTTATTGCCATATGACTAAATTCTCAAAAAGTGTAAAAATTATATACATACCCCAAGTTCATCTAAAAACATGATCATGCGATGTTTATTGCTTTTGATGAACGGATTAACACCTTCCATATAAGGTTCCTAAAAAAATTAAAAAGACAGTAAAAAAAATTAAAAATTAATAAGTCATATGCCTTAACAAAAACTTTTACAACAACTATCCATAAAGCAAGAATTACTCTATATGAAACTTGGTAGAGTTAGTTACAAATCAGAAATCATTTAACATAGCTTGGCAGAAACAAATTATTTATAATATTTAGAATTTATTATTGATGAATTATGAAGAATCCAACATATTGTAGGAAGTTAAAATACAGTGAAACAAAAAATTTCCTATGATTGCAATGGGACAAAATATGCCATGGATTTCAGGTAAATTTAAAAGTGTTATAATTTATAGGTTATATAATATCAACTATAAATCTCAAATGAAATAAGGTTCAATTGGAAATTCCAAAGATGTAGGCATGAAATTTCTAAGACAAGTAAATGAAACATAAAGAGATTAACTTGGGGGCTGGAGAGATGGCTCAGCATTAAGAGCACTTGCTGTTCTTGCAGAGGACCAAGGTTTTGTTCCCAGCATTCATATGATGGTTCCTGTCATGTTGCAGGAAATCTAATGCCCTCTTCTGGCTTAAGTGAGCACCAGGAACACAGCAGTGTACTTATATGCATGCAGGCAAAAACAGTCATATACATAAAAGTAAATCATTTTTTGGAAAAAGAAAAATTACTGAATTTGGCAAGAAATTAAGAGGAAATTGCCTATTTAGGCAAAAGCCTAAAATGTGTATTTAATTATTAATTATACCCCCAAAGTTTTGGATCAATCTGAAAGGAAGTATAGAGAATACATTACATCTGAATATCTGACAGAGGACAGCATACTAACTAGTGGTTGGTAAGAGAGCAGTACATACTTGTGAGTTGGGCAAGGAGTTACAAAAGAGGTAATTGTATTATTCCAGTATTTACATAGTACACTGTTTTGAAGATCAAGTACATTGATTGTGAAATAAAAAAAAAAAAACATTTAAATGTGGGCAATGAATTTTAAACATCAAAATATGTTTACCTTAGCTCCAAATTCCACAAGGTTTGCTAAATTCTGCACAGACTTAGCCACTAATGTCAGTGTTCTTGCAGCAATAGGAGATGGGGAATCTAGAAGAGAATTTGGTACAACTAATGACACCAACTCCAAAGGTGCATTGAGGTAAACCATTATAAATTTAGCATTTTTCTTTACTCTTATGCACTAACAATCCTTTACTCAAAATATATTCAGAATAGTAAAAAAAAAAAAAAAAATATGACCGTAAGTTCCAAAGAACTTAAGTTAAAAGGAGAAAAAACTGAACACATTTTTAAGTGCTTCTTGTTTTGTGAACTACAAACTTGATTAATTCCCAACTGGCTTATAATATTTCAGAATACCCCAAAAAGCTGCTTTATTGCTAAGAAGATTGTCACTCTACAGACCTTTCAGAACCATTCACAAGGCTAATTTCAACCCACTTAGGGAACCATTTTGTAATCTTAGCAGTTCCCTACTTCTAACATTAATAGTTCACTTGAAAGATCAGTTTTCAAGCTCATGAAAAACTTCCCTGTAGAACATGGAAAATGGAATACAGAAAAGTATCTGTAGCTACCAAACCAGAAACTGACAATTAAGGCCCCCCCCTCCCGGTCCTTATGTCCTCCTATATGCTGTTCTTAAACTCAGTTTGAGACAACCTTGAATTTCTAACCTCCTGCCTTTTCTCCTTCCTGAGTTTCATCAGGTACGAGGCATTGAACCCAGGGCCTCATGTATGCTCTGCCAGCATTCTACCAACTGAGTTACATTACCAGCCCAAGATTAATAACTTCACATCTTATATTCTGACTCACTGTTTTAGACTGTGTTGTAAAATTTTAATTCAAGTTCACATACTGTTGAAGTAGCAATGAATAGAACCCTCAGAACAAATTCTAAGCCTTTCATTTCATTTTCTAAAACTTCAGTGTATTTGTGTGTGGATATGTACAAATGAATGCAGCTCCCCACAAAAGGGAGAAAAGGGTGTCTGATCCTTTGGAGCTGGAGTTTTGGTGGTTGTGAGCCACCTGACATGGGTGTTGGGAACTGAATTCTGTATAAAGAGCAGTATGTGGTGAGAACCATCTCACCAGCCCATCTTTATTCTTAATATGCATGTATTCACTTACTTTAGTAGTAATGAATAGTAACTATAGGCATGTGAGGAGTATGAAAGTATAATTAAAATATTGAAAAAAAGTCTTTTGTTTTTAAGATCCAGGGAACTCTCAAACTCAACTTCTTGCATGATAGGTACACAGCACTGTGCTGAGTGACATGGTCTACCTATATAGTCCAGGCTGGCAATGACCTTTCTTTGTGCCTTAGCCTCCTAAGTTCTGTGAAATATATTCCCAGCTCAAATAATTTTTAATACAGCTTTGAGCTTCAAATTATTAGTATAAAAGTGATTGTTTCTTCCCATTAATATTAATTGGCTAATTACGACACTGAAGTTATATTAATAGTTTTCCTTTCATAAGCTTACAAATCTGCAAACTTGGACAAATGAGTAAAAAGCAAAATGGGACCAAACTTATTAGAAAATAAAATGGTCAATTAATATTATATAACTGGAAGAATCTGGTCTACCTTCTTTGTTAAATGTTCACTGATGCATCTTAAAAAGAAGTTCAGCTTACAGCAACCTGATGTAGACTAAGGACAAAAGAGGACTCCTATCCTGTAAACGCTGTAAGTGTGAGAGCCAGTGGGCCAGTAACATATCTCAGTGCCACCAAGCCTGCTGACCTAATTTCAATGCCAGGCACGCAAAGAGTGAAAAGAGACAATCAACGCCCAGAATTTGTCCTGTGACACCTGTACACACATCATGGCAAGCAAATGCCTGTACATATACACTCATATGCTTAAAAAACACACACACACACACAAACTAAAGTCACAGGAACAGAAAAAAAATCCAACATGTTGGATACTAAAAGAATAAAGAAGGCAGGGGGGGTAGTGCATTACTGAGCATCTGATTTAAAGTGCAAGTATTTTTTTCAAATGTTACGGAAGAAATGAAGCTTTTCCCATTTCAAAGTTTATTAAAAGGTATTTACCTGAAATGATATTAAACATCCGTGGACTCAGGATAGCAGGGCAGATAAGCCGAAGAAAAACAAAACCACTAATTGGGAGGGAAAATTCTTTTAGAAAACTCTATGTTTACAATATAAACATAAAATATTTAAACTTAGAACCACAACCTTTATTTTCAACATGGGAAAGCCTAAACACAGTCATTAAGAAAACTGTAAGGCAAACATAATTTCAGAATTACTTTGGAAATACTTTTTTATTGCAGATTAGTAATTTGTTTTATCCTGGTAAGTACTGTATTAAAACACTGAGAACTGCTGAAAGATTAGGAGGATTCAAATAATGTTTTATAGATAGAGAAGGTTCCAAATTACCCACTTTCTTGCTGTCTTTTTAAAGTTTATTTAAACAGAAAAGTGTGAATTAAGATGAGTGTATCAATATTGCTGCTGACTTATATAGACATTGGAATACGCTGTAATTATCAAAGACTCCTTGACAAAATTCATACAATAAAGTTCTATAGTTAATGTAAGCTTATAGATACCCTACTCTGCCTTCTTCCATCAGTAGTATTAAGTATATGTTGTATAAATTTTTACTTCTTTTTAAAAAGAATCTATGGTAAGAAGTAACCTTACGATTAGTCCCCAGAGTTTATAAAATTCCTTACAGCAATGAATAACTTTACAATTTGATATTTCTTCTTAAAGAGAGTTCCTATATAAGGTTTACTGAAAGTATTGTGATACCTAACTAGAAACCTAAATTGAAAACATTAACCCATTAGTAAATTTCAGTGAAAATGTAATTTTTAATTTAAGGTGATTTTAAATTAAATAATACACTGACACTACTTAATTTAAAAGCTTATTATTAGGAAGAGAAATCACCGTAGGCATGAAAAACCCCTAAAGCACTCTGTCACATTAAATTCAATTAAAGGATTCTCTGCTGTACTAGTTTAATGGTTACACATTTAAAACATGTATTATACATAACAGTTTAATGTCCACCACACACAACTGCTCAAATAGTATGCTTGTAAATTTTCTTTCTTCCTACAATTGTTGCACGTGTCTTAGTAAAGCTAACTAGGAGGGGTTTTGGCTGGCCTGTTTTATTCAGAGGTAGGAATCAAATCCAGGAGCTCTGAGTGTTAGTTAAACTAGTGCCTTATCTCAGAACTATGCCCTTGGGCCACTAATAGAAATTCTGTCTGCAAGATAAGTAAAAGCCTCCTGGCAAAATTTACATCAGAAATGTGTCCTTAAAATTTATATTTTACATGTAATGTGACTGGCAATGTACATTTTCTATAATTACTAGAAAACTGTATTTGAAATGTCTCACCACTTTGTACTGGCTGAGGTATGCTTAACAAAATCTTTGAACAATATTAATATATTAGGTAGTCATAGGAATTTTTCTTTAGTTCTGCTTGGTTCTTAACCATTTGTAACTTAAACAAACAATTTAAGTCCATATATGTGCTCTCAAATTAGCTGCTAAAGCAGTTCCTGATGTATGACAAACAGACTAAATGAGAGCTAGAATGTATAGTTGGAGATTAGCTTGGAATCACAGATGTTTCAAATCAATTAAAATCGAGATGGTTCAACTACTGCACTTCTCCAGGCACCAATTTCCTCTGTCTCTGCCTACATACACAAATCAGTGTATACTGCACAGTGACTACGACAAATGGGAAGTGACTCTTACCTAACAACTCTTGTTCTCATGGTGTTATTTGTAGGCCACTTACGCTGAACAGATTTTTGCAGACACCCATAAATATATCTCAGTGTCCTGCCAAAATAAAAAAATAACATAAACATCTCAATACAGAAAGTTAATATCATCATCATAATGGTAATTTACTGGCAGCCAAAATTTTAATTTACCCAACCAATATACCATATTTTAATTCATTTGACCTTCTCATCTAAAAAAGGTATTTTGTCAAAAGTAAAAGAAGCATATTTAGTAACGGGTGTAGAAACATAATGCAGTATGTTTGGCTCCATTGATTTTAACTTCTGTTAATGAAAACTATGAAACAGATTATTAAGCATGAGAATATAGAGGAATTAATGTGGCACATATTCTACTATTTTGACTTCTTCCATCTAAACAAGTGAGTCTACTCACACTGACTTGTAAACAGACACGATACTGGTATCTTGTGTACATACCTGACTTTGGTTTTTCTTTCCTGGGAATCTAATGCTAGACAAGAACTAGAAACTAGATTTACAAATATTGTCCTCAGATCTGAGACATGTTATTCATTATCTAAGCTACAATATATGCCAGGCTTACTCAGTTCATATGGACATACAGTTTATGTGTTTCTATTTTCCTCTTTTGTGAGACAAGATCTTGCTATGTGGCCGAAATTCATCATCATCTTGGATTATCCACATGTGCCATGAAGTCTATATTTTACTCTGGCTTTTTAAACCATTATTTCACTCATCTATTCTTTTTTCCTTAAACATAATCCATCTATTTTGAGAGGAGATAGAGGTTTCTCTGTGTAGACCAGGCTGGCCTAAAACTCAGATCTGCCTGCCTCTGCCTCCCAAGTGCTGGGTATTAAGGCGTGCACCGCCACATCCAGTTCATAATCCATTTAAGGACTAAAAACCTCTCATACCAATACCAGTAACACTAATAGCATTCTTTAAAAGAAAACTTAGAAAACACAGATGCATTCATTTTTGGCAAACAATCTGACAACTTACGGTGGGAGTATTTCTGAAGCCATGAATATTTTCTCCACAAGCTCTGAAAGTATGTTCAATAGGTGTGCTAAATTAGTGTTCACATCTTCATTCTTTTCTAACTTTGATGGACTTAACTAAGAGAAGGAACAAACCAATACAAATTCATTTTGGTGACGATAGACTCAGGTAAGTCATGGTAAGTGTGCAGTTATTTTTTCAAAGATGTCAGCTGTTCCCACATATGCAAATTCCATTCATTCTGTCACTCAACCAAATAGTAAGCCACTCATTTCTAGTTATCTGAGGAAAAAACTTTTTAATGAGGTTCAAAGTAGGGGCTAAGATAGGCAAAATGTGTAAATAGAATCATGAACACTTAGAATTTTTCAAGTACAACACTCCCAATTTCTGTGTTCTGATATGCCAGATGTACCTAAAAATCTGAAATACTTTTGTCAACTCTCATAGTAATTACTGGATTATCCTCAGCTTCTAACAATAAAACACTCATTTTGTTATGGCAGGATTAACATTTGACAGTTCCAAGTGTTATTTTACTGACACTCTCAAGGCTTGTGTGATACAGTCTTCCTTTATAATTACTCTGTAGCACCCATCAAGTAGAATAGTTATATAAGCAGGATTCTGCTTATGACTGTATAGTTGCTTATAAACTTGCACTAAAACATTATTCATCTTTAAAATAACTCATAGAGACCTCTATGGAAAAGATGTTACACTTACAAAGTTTTTCCTTGAGTTTGACTTTGCATTGCCAACATAGTACTACAAATGGTAAACTCCACGTCTGACTTCATATGATGGGCCCAAAGCTAACACAAGCCTCCTAGAACTCGTGTAAAATTAACTTCAGTCATAAATGAATTTTATGTGTAGACTTAGGTACCATTCTCAAAGTTGTATATATGAAATAGTCCCAAAATCTTAAAATTTTTTTTGGAATATGATACTCAATATGAATAACAAAAGTCCCTGAAGAATGTTCAATTTATGTTACACACATTTTCTTAAAGTAAGGTAAACTCGATCATTAGTAGAAATGAGGAGAAATGCCAACAGAGCTGTGAGTGCATGCACGGTCTTGGGGTTTTGTGTGTGTGGAGGGGATTAAAATTTACTATAGAGGGCATAACTGCACTGACAAATTTAGAAATGATGTACTTTCCCAAAGCTGTAATTTGTTAATTCTAATAAAATATGCCAATTGCAGCAAAGATTAAAACAATAAACTCTTACCTCACATGATTGCTTGCTTTCCATTATTTTTAAAATGGAGTCTTTCAGAGCGTGATGAACAAATTGTGTGGCAGTGGCTTTCATATACTGCTCCATCAAGGTACTAGCAAGTGTTGTAGCTCGAAATAGGGTAGTGGCTTCATCTACACAAATATGGATGTTAGATGATACTTGGAAAACTGTACTAATACAACTAAGTTGGAATTTTTTTTTTTGGAAACATACTTTTTACATAAATATTAATGAGAAGAAAATGAATACATTAAAAGCTGTGAAAAGCACAGTGATATGTATCTTAGCCTCAGAACTGCTACAAAATCTAGAAATAAAATACTCATAAACGTCCCAGTAAAACCTGAGGTAATGATAAATACTATGTACGGTATTGTTGATACTCACACACTGAGTCTGGACAAAGAAATCATTTTCTTACAGCTTCTAATACTTAATTTTCCATGACAGAATTAGAAATAGCAACCCATTACCATATTAAACAAAGAATCTCAGATACTTTGTAAAATGATTTAACAGTTTAATATATTTAAAGACAGACCCCCACATGTTTGATACATAAAATCGTATTTTTACATTTCTTTAAAAAAAAAATCACACATCTATATTACCTTCCATACTTATCTCTCTGTCATTTAGTGTGCATAACAACAATGACTCAAGCTTTTCATGAAGAAAAATCTTCAGTAGGATGCTGGCAAGTAGTGTTCGGTCTTGTCCACATACATGTGATAAAGCATAGACTACATGAAGTTCCTTTTGTAGTATAAGCTAAAAAAAGACATCAAAAAAGGAATGCTGAAAGTACAGAGCATTATGTATCCTTGGGGACCAATGGGAAATATATGTAAAATTAAGTGGAAGAAAGTAACTATTGAATACAATTGATAAAATGGAGTGAGTACGTAGCCTATATATTTCTAGCCTTGTAAGATCAAGATCATACATGTTTTTTTTTTACCTCTGGTTACTAGCGTGGTACTAATTTAGGACACTACTATTTAGCTTAATGGATTTTTATTATATAGTTTAACATTTATATTTATTGTTATTAAAATAATTAGACTTCTAAATAATACCTCTTTAAATTCACTGTACTCTTCTTCTGGCATGATTTTTTCCATCGAGTATCGTGCTCGAACACGCAGAGATCCTGGTTCAATACCTTTTAGTGGTATATGGGAGCTGAGCAGAAACCATTCATCTGTGGCATGTCCTTTCTGTAACCTGCTCAACTGGCAACGCATAAATACTACAAAGAAAAACCACTATGGTCATACAATTAAATTTTCTCAATACACTTTCCTGTAGTTTTAAATGCTTTTCACTAAGCAAGTTTTCAATAACATCACAAAGTCAACACTTAACTGCTTACTTTTTCCATTTAAAGGCCTGCTATGTGACATTCTGTCATAGGCTAGGGATATGGGATTAAGAAATGATTAAGCCACAGTGTCTGACGTATATTGAAAATGTCTTAAGCTATCAAAGAGGGTGCAGTGTAAATGCTACAACAGTAAATAATACTTTCAGACACAAGGATATGTAACAGCCTAGGGGAGATAAAAATCCATTCCACAGGAACCCGTGAGTTGAGTTAGCTAGGTTAGGTAAAAAGGTAGAGCAATAAACACCACAATCAAAATAGGAAGTATGATTTTCTTTCTGTGCCATTACTAGAACTTTGTCATACAAGTAATGGAGAAATACTTAAAGATGTAAGCAATTACAGAATCAACATTTTACTCAGCTTCAGGTTTTGGTCTGTGTCTGTCAGTCTTTTATCACTGTTTACTAAAGCAGCCTAAGTTGTAAGACGGCATTAACCTATTTCACCCTGATATGAATCACTAAATTCCACTGTGATCTGTCCTACCAACAGAACAGGAGGATGTGTCCTGCTCGGAGTAGGAACAGAGCATTGAATGTTACAACAAATAAATGGCACACCTCAACATTCTGTGTCTTATTTCTTTGCAGGACTAGGGATTAATCTCCAGGTCAAACACTACCACTGAGCTGCAACTCTAGTCTGTAACAGAACCTTTTGGATTTGAAGTGTAGGAAGTAAGGGAATCTAAAAAAAGGAAAGAAGATAAAAAATGATTCTTGTCCTATTCTCTGGGTAAGGGAAAGCATATTTGCATATCTGAAATTGTAAGGACTACATCCAGCACATTCACTTCAGCCATTTTGTTCTATCCTTCATAGTCTCGGGACAGTCGATGTCTCGTAGTAGACTGCATAGCATTTGTGTTTCATCTGCATCTTAGACATTTCACATACATGTGCTAAAAATATATACAACATGCTTTCGTTACTTTAGAAAGCTTGAAATCAACTTACAGATATCTGGATCTTTGCTTTTCTTTGTTTTATTACTAAGCGTGATTTCAAATCTATTGATGTCAGGAGGAAGATCACTAAAGAAGGAGAAAAATTAGAAAAAATGTTCTAGTTTCAAACTACCTTATTTTTGTTCAAAAATTCATTGTGTAATACTTAAAACAAGATTTACATTATTTGTTACACAAGAATGTTGATAAATATACATTTTCTTAAAACTTCCTAAAACAATAATAATCTCTTAAAACAAGATCTAGAAAATATAGAAAACTTTTTGTCATCACTTTTCAGTAGTCCATCTTTATTAATGAAGATGAAGAAATCCAACAAAAAATATTAAAACACCTAGAAAACAACAGAAACTTAAACAGCATGAGGAAAATAGGACTCTAAAAACGGATTAATATGATAAAATAGGACTTACTCAAAGACAAACTCCTCTGACCATACTGGGTTTTGCCCCTCCCTTGCATGAGTTTTTGCTACTTGGACGCTATTCAGGTAGATGTTACAATATGGATTAGTAAAGTGTTTTACTGGGAGCTTGTGGGCTTCTTCAATATGTAAAACAAGGCTGCTGACCTAAAGAGAACACAAAAATTCATACCCAACATTTTAAGACCTATATATAAACGTGAAAAATAGTGACTTGTTTTTCTTAGTATTTCAAAAAACATAAGCTTTGTTGATCAACTGTCACCACCCATTTCCAAACTCCAAATATCATAGCATGCATATCACGAATATTTTACTACTCTCAAAGAGTCCCTGGCTAAGATGTTTTTAAGACACTGATTTTAAGGATATGTATTCCCCATATGGGTGCCAGAGAAGTTCACCTACCTCCTACTGTTCAACACTCTCTACCATCAGCAAATGTGTCAAATGTAAAAGACTGCATACATGCTATGTTAAGGATTGAAAACAATCCTTAAACCCACAGCAGATTAACTTAGCTATCAAAGGGGATTGAGATACTGGCTGTTATTATATGTGTACAAAGATATGTGACAACTTGTGTATATTAAATAATTATTTGTGTATGTATGTGTGTATCCTTGGGATAAAAGCCAGGGTTTTTGTTACAGAGTATTTAGTTACCTAGTAACAACTGTTTTATATGTCCATGAAACAGGCTGTTAAATTCAACAAGCTTACACACTGTCTTAACTTTCTTCAAAATTCTAACCACATTAGAGTTTGACTATTTCCAATTATCTAGAAACCACTTTAATGAAACAACGAAAGAAAGATGTGAAGACCAAGTAATAAGGGATAAGTCAGTTATGGTGGGTGGCTCTTTTAATTCTAGTGTTCAGGACACTGGTGCAGGAGGATCACTGCAATTCTGACCCCAGCCTAGGCCATACACAAAACCCTTACCTCTAACGGGGAAAAAAAAATTAAGAAAAGGTAATGATGCAGTATATATATAGATAACAAAACTTGACTTCCTATAAACAAAAGTATAAACAAGGTTCACATTTTAGTTCCTAAAAATTGTCTAGTCTCAAAAACAACTATATCATAAAAAACAAGTTTTAAGGCTACTCCTTTGAGTACAATTAACTCTTCAGAAGTACCTTTCATTGATTCTACCTGAGATAATTTTCCAAGTGGAAAAAAGAAGCACAAAGCTAGGGTGCCTTGCTTTGGCTTGTTCTGTTAGGAGCTGGCTCTGCAGACTGGAAGCAGAGAATGTACATAAAGAAGTCTCTTTCACAGAGCAGCTGCTACCAAGTCAAGCACTGACAGCAAGGCATAGAAATGTTGGCAAAAGTAGCAATGTATAGGCAAAAAAAGAACAAAGTGATGTGAAAATAAGACTGTTGTAAGTCAGACACAAGAAAGTTTCACCTGACGAAGACGTTTATTAGATGTCCCTGGGCTACTTTTTCGTAAACTGCAAAATGCTTGCAAACCTTTCATCCAATCCTACAAAAAAACAAAAACAGTATTGCAAAGAAATATATATGAGTTTATCCAATTATCAATTTACTTTCTTCATAATTAATTATTTCCATCCCTAGGCTGCCATTTTGAGTCTCAGAATATAATAAACTGTAATTTTCTGTCTCAGCAAAACGAAACAAGAAACAAAACAATATTAGTTCTCTCACTCTAATACTTAAGGGTCAATGTAGGGTTCACAGTGATATAGTCATGCAGTTCATATTCAGGGCTGAAAGGTAGGTTCTACTGCCAACAAAGCCAGTCATTCACTTAATTCTGTTTGTTTTTCATAGAGTCTCCTCAGAAAAGTCATATTTGTACAAAATATATTTAAACCCTCCAGAAATATTACAACTAGCTGGCTTGCTTCTGGAATATATGGAGAATGCCTCTAACTTATGGAAATATAATTATTTGTAAATGATTAGTTTCAACTGAATTCACAGAGTATTTAATGGTTAATTTTAAATGGCACTTTTTATATCTAATAACCCTTCACTGTGTTTTGTTAAAAAGAAAAAAGTCACAACAACAACAAAAGCTTGGACAGTTTCTCACTTGTTAGAGTATTAAGATTCCAGACACACTTTCGTAACATTGTCCCACAGTAGTTTTCTTCCCTAGTTAATGAAGTTAGGCTAGCACAAAGATCTCAGCAGCTTAGGAAACAGTAATCTTACCTCTGCTTGTTCTGGAGTTTCTCCTGCAAAGTAAAAGATGTAATGTTCTTCACTAAAGTGTTGAACTACTATCTGAAAACAGTTTGGCCTTGGAACACAAACAAAAAAAGTATTAAGAAACTTAAAAAAATTATTAAAGTATTTATACCAGCTTTAAACACACACCAAATGATTTAAGATAGTCATAATTATTAATTTAGAGAAGTAGGTAATTAATTCTGCCAGATTAAGATGCCACATGCATATGTATTATAAAATTGAAATTTCATTAATTATTCAAGGTTTAAACTAAAATGCAATATAAATTAATATTAAGATATATCAAAGAAAAAAGTAAAAAAATAAGTAGACTTTCTAGAACTACACATAACTTATATGCAAAAAGTGTACATGCACTGAAAAGTAAAAATGTTAATATTATTAATTATTATTAATTATTAAGGAATTAAAAATATTAATGCTTGTCTCTAAGCAGGCTGAAGGTGGTTTGAAAGTTCTTTTCTGTAATTTTCTATTTTTTTTTTACAAACTTGATCATTCTTTTCACCAAGTCAAAAACACCATCTCCCTACATCACTTGTTCTGAAGGTTAATGACATAGCAGGGATCATACAATGTTTGTTCATGTCTTCCCCTAGTATGAACTACTACAAATCATTTGTCAGATAATTTTATAATACCTAATAATTTGTATCTGTTTTGCAGATGGGCTGACTTTACAGTTAAACTGGATAAATCTTAATAAAATGTTTAACAAGGAAGGGCCTTTTAAGTTTTCAGAACTCCCTTTATTTTAGACAAATATTTTTTATCATGTATACTTGTTTAAAAAGTTAAAACTTTTTTATGCTTGGGAAGATTATGAAATAATGGAAAATGTGAAATGAGAATTTGATCTGAATTAGTCTGAATGAGATCAACCCTCAAGCCTAGAATAACAAATGGCCATACCACGTGAAGATGTACCGAACAACCAACACTGGGAAATCTGAAGGGAAAAGCTCATTTCAAGGGGAGTTTGACTTTCCCCTTATTGCTTCCTTTTCAACCCTTCAAAGCTATTGACTCTGAGGGCAATGTGTCAAAGAAAAAGTAGCATGTGAAATGACAGACCAAAAATCCAAGACTTCCAGAGTGACTAGATTGGTCCTTCAAAAATGAAGCTTTCATGTTACTAATGTTGACTGCGTCTTCACATAACGAAGGCTGCCTTCCCAACCTTGAACTGTCTTCACTTGACCCCCAAAGGCTTTAAGAAATGTGTCTTCTGGCCAGTAGCATTACTCACAGCTTTTCACACAGAACATCCTTCATTCAGACAGAAGCATGTATTATAAGAGCAAAGTGCTGCGAAGAAGCAATGGAGTGCCTGCTCAGCCTTAGAATACGGGTTATCAACGGCAGAGACTCTACCAAGGTTTAGGGAATATTACAAAGAGCAGGGAAAATATAATGCGGAAGGAGTGTTGTAAAATGCTGCTCTCTTGACATGGCATTATGGTTGCACATAACCCAAAGCAACAGTAGTTACCTCCTTAAAACCTGCACAAATCAAACCAGTTAAAGATTCCCGTATGTAACAGGAAGGGCTCGCAAAACCCTACTCGTAGCTAAGGAGCTACTAGCAGTTAATGGTTATAGGGAAAAGAGGGTTACTTTTCTTTAGAAGTGTGGCCCAAGCGGAAGAGGCCATGCTCAGTTTCATATGGGCAACATTAATTAGACTCAGTGGGTTAAAAATCTTTTTAAATGTCTACAGAAAACTGCCAAAGAAAAATATCCAATGTAATAGCTTTCCTTTTAAATTACATTAAAAATGCCAGAGTGAATTACCCAGTCTATGGAGAAATAAGTGTAACAGCTCTGCCAACAATGGTCATTAGAATAATGGTCATTGTAGCAACTTCCAACTTAAGCTCTTAAAATGCTTCCTATATAATATACAGCATCATTAAAAATCCGATGTTTAATATGAAGAAACAAACAAAATCTGGGAAAATTACATAACCATGCAGGCAAACATCTACACAAACAATGTTATTTCAATGTTTCCTCAACAGAAGACAGAGCATGCATACAGTTAAGTTACCTTTCAAAGAAAGCTTTCTTTCACATTAGACTTTACTTGAATGCCACAATTCTATATATTAGGCTTTATACTCTCACACAAAGCATGAAAGTGCAAAGCATGCTAAACGATTCACAAATATGCCTTTTTGTGCCTATGATATTTGTACTTTATAATAACAGATAACTGGTATCAACATGATTTCATCTGTCCTGTTATGTGATCTTTACTCTCATGAAAGGAAAGAGGCTTTGCTGATTTGTTTTCCTTTCCTGGTCACTTCCCAATAAAAGTGCGTACAAAGGAAAGTTGACCCTAACCGGCCGATTTCAGAAACAAAGATCTGTTTTCTCAAAGGAGAGATTTTACCTGTTTTCACAGACATATCTTTTCCTATCAGGTTTTGGGCCTGGAATCAGTAAGTATTCATAACTAAGATTTATTTAGAGTGTCATACTTACAGTCAATTTCTAAAGGAACTCTGCACTAGAAGCAAGAAATGATAATACAGTGAAGGTATATGTGTGTGTATTATTTTCCAACTATTAGAACACAATTTTATTCTACTTTATTTTTGAAGAAGTTCACTCTTTATTCAATAAATAGATGAAGTTAGAATTATTTCCACAAAGAGGATATTTCCTACAGAACATATATTTTAACAAAACTCCTTTTAACTAATATTCTTCAATATCTAATAGTTATAGTCTGAGCCTTTTTTTCATATAAAAACAAAATGTGTAGCTGAAGCACCCTGGATTTTCTTACATCCTTAGTATTTTTAAAAATGAAATTGTTTAATATATATATATATTCAGGTCCACAGACAAAAGCTATGTCCATGCCCATATTGCTTAAGTTCAAGAAGAAAAACATTTGATTTGGTGGGCCTCAACTGGGTCCTAAATCTTGCCCCAGGACACTTCTCTCCACACTCTACTACTGAAGCCGTGAAGACGGTAACACATCATTTCCATCCTGACTCCTTCCGTGGATCTTGTCTCGTGTTTCTAAAATCAAATGACATTTCTGTTTCTAACAGGTTCCTTTCGCTCTAGTAAAGATACTTTTGTACAAGAATCGTTGTTTCAATCAACATGGGAAGACTGTGACTAGAAGGTCTTATTGCTCCATCCCTAGTCTTTCATTTTGTGAGTGTGTTGGGGTGGAATTCTTATCCTTATCATCATCCTGTTTTATTTTAAAAAGGAAGAAAGAATAACAAGGTCAAGTGAACTTATGAACTACTTCAATAGCTAGCTAGTCCTACTGAAAGCCCGTTCCAAAGATGTCTACTTGACAGAGGTGAATTGTACACTGAGCTTAGTCAAGAGTTAAGAAAAAAAAAACCTTATATTCAATCAATCAATCAATAAATTTTAGACAATTTTATGTTCTTAAAATAGGTTATACTTCAAATGGTCTGAAAATATCCACAATTTTTATTATTACAACAATGTTTAAGAAAAACCAATGTCTTACCTGCCAAATAGACTATCATGGACAACGTAGACGGAACATACACTGAGATCTATTAACCCTTTTGGTTTTGTAGCTCGTTTTTCACTTTCAAAATAAATAAGTTGGGCATCACTGCCCTCTAAGATAAAATATAAATTTTTCCAGCGTTTTCCTTTGCCTGTTGAAAAAAATAATTCTCTTTCCTTAGGAACTAAGAAATAGTATTTCAGAATACAAAGAAAATTTAAATATATTTCAATTTTCATTCTAAGAATAGGTCAATCAATATATAATTACAAAATCCTATACCTGCATAGATAAGTTTTTTGCTATTATTGCTTGTGTAATGAATTAACAAATGGTGGATGAAGTTCATCATAATACTTTAACTGTGTCTTCAGAAATTTATTATTATAAAATCTTTTAAATTCCTATTTTAGAGTAATTGTTTTCCAACAACACCCATTCCTCAATATCAAACTGACATAGATCTATTTAAAAGAAATAAAAGAAGAAGAAAGAAAGAAAAAGAAATTCAGTACCCTGAAGGCCAAGTGCCACCAGGAATTTCTCTAAGAAACCTCAGGGAAAGCCTGAAACTAAGTCATTTAATGACATATTTGGAATACAAGCTTGCTGTAAAACACTGTTTAGAACATGGACTTAATCTCTAAAGTTTGAAACATGCTCTGTGTAAGCACTAAACAAGTATCTGTTACTTATAATCAATGACAAAACAACTGATTATGTCTTACAGTAAGTATTATGTATATTTATGGCTATCATATGGTGATCACTAAAATTCCTAAACTAAATTCTTAGTCCTAACAGTTGACTTACTCTTCTTCAGAAGGTAACCTTTCTTAACAATGTTTTTATAAAAGGCATCCTTTGTTTTACGACGAATTGTATTATAGATTTCCTTTCCATCGACAGTATCATTGAGTACTTGTTCTTGATCCTGAATTGTAAAGAAACATTAAAATTATTTATAAAACCATATCCAATTAGTAAATAAAAAGCAGGTAAAATATTTCTGCTAAAATCTAAATTTAAATCTTACAAAGAAATTCCCAGAATGATTATTATTTCTTAAAAGCATGCCTCAAGGGCAAATGCTATTTCAAAACCTCAGTAAGTTTATGTATTCTACATCAAATGAAACTGTTTGAAAGTATCTACTTATTCCAGAATTAACTGGCAAATCAGGAGGGAACATGAATTAGAGCAAAGTCATGCTGGTGAATACTATTACCTCTGAGAAACACCAAGTGAGACTAGAAAACTAGCCAGTTGAATTCGGACAATCCCCACGTTAACCCTCAGTTCATCACACACAACATAGCACATTGTTATATCCACACCTGGTAAGTCTTTAAGTTTTTTATTATTTTTATAAAAATTTCCATTCTTTATAAGCAACCTGAATTAAGATTCTTTTCTTCCCACTACTTCATAGCTTCCTCTTGTTTCAATACTTTCGATGGCCTACATCTTTTTTACACTAAAAGTACAATATTTATTATAATCTTTACATTTTTTTAAGGATATTTAAAAGCCAGACTACATTTTTCAGTTCCCATTCTATTATGTGTCAATGATGAAATGTTTTACTTTGAACTCTTATTTTTCCTGTAAGTTCTAGGTCTTTATTGCTTGATTTTTACATAATAGGCTTCAGTAATGCATAAAAGACAGCTGACATCAATTGCTAAATTGCCTACGTTGTCACAAAGAATGTACAAAATCATGATCTTCTCAGATAAAATAATTTCCAATTGTATCAAGGTATGTTAAGCTGAATGTTAGTCTTCCCATTCATTCATAACAATTCTTTTATTTCTGAAAAACTATTTTATGGTATTTAGTTATTTTTGGATGCTCTGCAAAGCCTATTCAACTTATTGTAAATATAGAACATTAAGCCATTTTCATGATAACCTTTATGTTCTATTTTTGGACATTATACTGTTTCGCTTCCTTATTCAGCAATTATGTCCAGGCACTAAGATGGTAAGAAAGAGAAGGATTAATTACCTGAGATAAAGGTGACAAGCTATGGTATGCATGCTAAGTTGAGCCCATTTGTGGTATTGTGGTTTGAAACTAGGACATTCTGCATGCTAGGCAAGTGCTCTACTGCTCAATTATATTACCAGGTGCACCACCTCCAAACCTAGTCCTCAGTTTTTGTACAAAGTTTTACTGAACCTCAGACATGTTTATTATATATTGTCTGTAGTTCTTTTCAATTACCAAGGGAGATTTAGCATTTGAAATAGATTTGAGATAAAACCTAACCTGGATCTTTTGTCAGTCCCTTGTAAAGATACAAGGATGCAATAGTGAAATAATCCCTTCTCTGTTTTTAAAAGCCACTGCCAGGTATTACAGCATCTTTAAAAGGGTTAAGAGGGCATTTTCTTGCCTTTTGTTATTAGTCATTAAACAGCTAATTAAAACTTTATAGACTTTTTAATCTTCTGCTATGAATGGTAAAAAGGAAATGAGAAGACAAAAATGATGTTTACCAGAACAATGAATGAATTTAAAGAAATAGCTGTACTCTGGGCTCTACGGTGAGGAAAATGACTTTGATAACCAAATCTCTTACTATGATATACATGAAGTTATTCATGTTTGTTGAAATTTTTACATCATATTTATTCATAAGGGTAGTGAATTAATGATGAAAAATTGTATAAAAGGGTTATTAAAATAAAACACATAACAGAACTAGAAAAAAAATCACTGGAACATTTTACTTGGTATCTGTAAGTATAAAAACATTTTACAATTAGAGAACAATAAACCCTACTTTTCAACAAAATTGCCTTCAGTGTTTTCAGAAACATCAGTTTTGATGAGGTGAACTACATTCGTGATTTAAAGTTTGTTATCAGTACTGCATTTTAAGAGCCAGAGTAACTACAAGCAGGACTTATCAGAATACACAAGACAGGTTGTTCCAAGTGCACATAGAAAAGCTGAAGAGAGGTTAGCTGCACTCCAAAGACTGGCTAATTTGAGAAAGCTGTGAGTATACATGAGGAAAATAAAAAGCAAAAGATTGCTATACTTAATCACTCATAACATTTTCTGTAAAACTTATTTAGGTTTATTCATTTCTTGTATACATTATGTGTTAAAGTACTTAAGTAATTTAAACATTAAAATAGACTGAGATTAAAATTAGTATCAATTAATTTCCATGTGACTACAAATCTGTACTCATGACTTTTTATTCCATGGGTGACAGTCTGTGTATTAGCTGTAGAATGGGGTACGCTTATCATTTAAAACATACCACATTCATGCTTAGCTTTAAATACATGGTTCCAAGGTAATCTGTAAGTGTTTTATGGTCCTATGTATATAGGTGTGTGTGATGTGGAGGCTTGAGAACAAGGTCGTTTCCCCATCTTTCTCCACCTTAGTTTTTGAGACACTGTCTCTCCCTGAATTTAGAGCTTGACAATTAAGCAAGACTAGAAGGCCAGAGAGCTCCAAAGATCCTTCTGCCTCCACCGTCTCAGTTCTGAGATTATAGTTGTACACCACTGCATCCAGTTGTTGTTTTTTTTAAATGGACTTGGGGAATCAAAATTCCCAGTTTAGTAAACAGCAAGCATTTTACTAACTGAACCACCTCTCCAGCTTTTTAAAAAATTAAATTAAGGTATACTGACCTACAAATCATAACGGATTCCAGTATCTTCTAAGGCATGAGTAAGAATGCAGCTTCACTTGCAGGTGGTAATAAATCACTGAATGATAGCAAGCATTTCCTTATCTTGGCCCACTTTCTACACAGTTCTGAACAAGGAGATCTCATCTTACACAGTCCTCCCTGAGAGTAGTAGATAAACAGAACCCACAGGCTACAGAAGCCAGACTTCAATTCTGACTTTGTTACTCAATGGCTAAAAACACCATTCAACAATCAACACACTAAAATAGTCACAAATCAATACTTGTTTTAATTAGAGAAAGTCAATAAACATAGTAAGTACATTATATGTTATAAACACAGTGATTCGTAGAGTTCTTTGCAAAGTAAAAGCAGAGATGGTGTTGATCTCTAAATCTCACTGTAAAGCTAATTTTTTGGTAAAATTTTGAATAACCAAAAAAAAAAGTTAAGTAGATTTCTGAGAAAAAAAAAAAGTTAGTTCAAAGATCCAAAGGAAGAAAAAAAGCCTAGTATATTTATAAATCACAAACAGAGCCAAAATAAGAATTCAGTAACAGATAAGGACAGTAGAATAAGACAGGTGGGAACGCTGAACTATCAGTATGCAATTTTGTCTGCTACAAAAGGGATTTTATCTTTTATCCTGAAATATTGGACATCTTCAAGTATTAAACATAAGAAGGGGCTCAACTCACGTTTTAGATGGACACCTCTGACTGTTCTATGGTGTAAGGGGGAAAAGACACTCAAAATGAAACAGATCAATATTTTTCATGTTGTTCAAATTCTAAACATATTTTGAAGTCAGAGTAAGAAAGATGTCCCCAACAAATCTGACATAGAGATCTGACAAAGAAAACCAAGGATGATTTAGTCCCTTGAGAAATATACTTAAGCCTTTCTATAGTTTAAATTTTGTTATTAACAAATATAAAATAGTCATATAAAATAGTGTCAACTTGACCAAACTGCTCAAGTAATTAATTAGTATGCATAGAAAATACCTTAAATATATTAAGAAGTCTTTTATAATTTTGTATTTTTTAATGTTTCTATTTATTTTCTGTTTAGGAGCAATGGTGTGGGAGGTCCTTCTGTCTCTTTGTTGCCTTTATAGGTTAATGAATAAAGAACTGCTTTGAGCCTATGGCAGGGAAGATTGGACTGAAGGCTGGGGGAAGAAGGCAGAGTCAGAGGTATGCCATGGAGCCACTGCCAGAGAGATATGCTGAAACTTTGCTGGTAAACCACTGCCACATGGAGATACAGAGATTAATGGACATGGGTTAAATTAAAATGTAAGGGCTAGCCAATAAGAAGTTAGAGCAAGTAGGCCAAGCATTGTTTTAATTAATACAGCCTCTGTGTGATTATTTCGGTTCTGGGCAGTCAGGACAAACATGTGCCCGTCTTCCAACAAATGATGGTATTCACATGGGACAGTACACATGTAGGGGACAGAGGACAATTTGGAGTCCATTATTTCCTTCCGTCATATGAGTGCCTGGGACTGAACTCAGTAGTCAAGCTAAGGATGAGCACCTTATACAATGAGTCACCTGACCAACTCTTTTCTTCTAGTGTCTTATCCATCATGTGCTAGACTAGTTCTAGGACTTGTTTATTTCTATTTTAGCTAATATCTGAGTATACAAGGGTTCAAAACTGAGGGGGTTAGACTCATTTTGCCAGCTGGTCAGGTTGTTCATCAGAAAAAGGATATTATTAATAGCCTTTGTATTTTCTAATAAATGGCCAATTAAAAGACAAGTATATGTTTTGATTCTTCAAACAAGGAAACACCAAACTCTTTTCACAGTACTTTCTGTATCTTTACTTTACCCATTCTACTTAAAACACAACAAAATTTCTTCTTCTGTTTGTTTTCCTTTTGCTATTGTTTAAAGACATGGCCTGGAACTTACAATGTAGACCAGGGCCATATCCTACTAGCAGCAATCCTTCTACATCTGCCTCAGGAGTGCGAGATTACAGATGTGCAAACCTCACAGTCACTACTACATCCTCTCACAGTGCACTTCAGAAAGGACAAGAGTCATACAGAGCAGGCTACTTAGTCTGCACATTAAGCTATATTTACTAGGCTCTCTGGTTCCATCATCCCTGCCTTATCTAGGACCTTGTACAGCAAGTGCTGCACTCATTACATCATTCTCACTGCCCTTTTACTCTTTACTCGAGTATATAGACATGCTCTTTCCCTGATAAAACTAATGAATAAAAAAAAAAATGGAAACTTCTCTTGGCCTTAATATTATTTCATCATTTGTTAAGCCTACATAAGACTGGATGTGAAAAATCATGCCATCTTCATTTTTCCCTCAAAAGAATTCACTCCTTTCCGTAGTGTTAATCTGTCTTCACCATTGCTATCATTCCTCAAGAAGGTACCAAGTACTATAAGCCTGGCAAACAACCCAGGTCTGTGGGGTAAGGGGACAGAAGCACACACACAATTTACACCACCCACTCTACCACTCAGGAGTCATTACAATGGGCAGCAGAAAATATGTGAGAGCTGGAAATGGGTGAAGGCTACAACTGCCATTCTCTAGGCTCAACATCAACGCACAACTGCAGGTATATGTATACTGGGTCCATATGGGCCTGGTCCTATCAACAATCAATTGCAGAATGGGGTGGGAGTCACTAGGTATTACTCGGTTATGTCTGATCTACTGATAAAATTCTGGGAGAAGGAAGAATCACTGTCTTTAGCAGTGATACCACTGAGCACAGCACGACTTCAAAGGACAACTCCCAACACATGATTACACAGACGCCCTGGTTAAACTCTGTGGGTCACAAAACAAAATGAATAGACGGAATGAGAGGTATTTTTGTGGAGGACATGGGGTGGACCAGAGGTGAGGAATAAAAGTATTCAGTAGGTATGCATACAGGTGTAAAAGTAAAAAACAAAGTTAATAAAAATAAAACAAACCAAAGAAAGAAAAAGAAGATACTAAGGACTTCCTTGGTATCTACTAACGACTTACTAATTAGATTATCTAAAGTGAACAGAATTAAAAAGTAAGAAATTCTCTTAAAGTTCATGATCTAAATAATCTATAGTTTTAAATTTTATCTAGTTTTAGCAGAAGTTTATATAGTCATTACAAAAATTATTTTTTTAAAAAAGACACTAATTATTTCAAGCAAGAAAACAAAACAAAAACAAAACACTGACCTGCATTGGTACAGGCTCCTTAAGATAATAGCCTTCAACAATCTGTTCTTTCCGGTAGTGATCTATGATGTCCCCAATACTGTTAATACAAATAAACCATGTTACCAAGGACTATCTATTCATATGTAGTTTTTGATAGCACACAATACAGAATAAACTATTATAACAGTCACATTGTTTTATAAAAACAGAAATGTTCCAAATACAGGTTTGCAGGTTGGAATATGTAAGCTAAAGATTTTGGTTTCCCACATATATCAAACACACAGTCAAATCAATGACACTACACACGATACTCTAAAAGTGACATTCAGTGAGAAAATGATTACAAGTTATGGTCTTTGGTTTTTTTAAAAGACAATCCTTCCAACATATGAAGAACTAACAAAAACTGTATTTATTTAGTAAATGATAAACTAAGAACTTATGTCATCAAATCACTTTATATATTTGCTTTTGCTCAGAATGTCATTAAGTCATAATACATGAATAGTTAGATGAAAATACAAATCAAAAGAAAAAGAAAAAAATAACATAATTTTGCTTGTATAGTCTTATTAAAGTAGGCAAGTGTTTCATCCATCCTTTTCTTTTCCAGAATATTGCCGCTCTGCATCTTACAGTTCCTCTATTATTTACTTTGCTAAGTAAGCAACTAAAATTTACTATGAGTTTTAAGACAAAGTTTTCTCACAAGTTGAGAGGTACAAACTAATCACAACACACAAAAAGTATCAACTTCAGAGAATAATCCAAATACATAATGACATTTGTAAAACCCAGATGACTCCTAGGAATTACCTACAATTAGCCTATATATAAATATTTGATTAAGCAACAAGGTATTTGGGAGTTGACAAGTTAATAATATTCATGTTTGACACTTGTTAAACCATTCTCAGATAAGACTACAGCTATTATATTGGAAACTGAGAAAATTTTATATTTTGAAATCAATTATTTTTACATCTAAAAGATAATTTAAACTGTTTCATAATTTACCTGTTATAATATCGGCCTCCCATCATAAACTGGTTATTAGGTGTTGGACAAATTTTAAATCGCTGAATATTTTCATTGGTCCGAAAATACAGGGAATAATCACCAGGAGTATTATCTGAAGGCCTCACAAGAAAGCTGCAGACCTGGCCAACTGTAAAAATTAAGTTGTTAGCTTTATACTCTATCAAATAAAAAGAAAGTAAATTATGTAATCTAATTAGAAAGTATATTCAAAGTCATAGCCACATGTAAATTTTATCATAAAACTTTAAGACAGTGTTTCCTATTTTCAGTTTATGACTTACAACCACTCACATTGTTCCTGGTGTAGCTTGACTAGTCTTCTTTCTTAAACATCTCTAACAGTAACGTCTAGAGTAAGGTCTATGTCTTTCCTTCTTAGAAAGAAGGATCGGACAGTTAGTCACAGTAACTAAAACTGTTACATCATATAATCTCGAGATCTTTAAATTTAAATGTTAAGCTAATTTTGACTAATAGTCTATACTTTCTCTGGATCTCCAGTAGATGACTAAAAAGCAAAACTGTGATATAAGTAAGTGCTTAAGTATCTGAGTAATTATCATAGTCAATAAACACATCTCATTTTTCTCACTAGGTGTCATCCTGAAAAGGTGTGCACACAAAGGACCATCTTCAATTAGCAATGATTCCTAATACTGTAATGTTTCCTTTGTGGTTAAGAACTGGTTAACAAAGATGGATGGTGATGCCTCAAGCCTTTAGTCTCAGCACTGGGGAGGCAGGAGCAAGAGGATCTCTGTGAGTTTGAGGCCAGCCTGGTCTACAGAGTGAGTTCCACGACAGGGTCCAAAATAACACAGAGAAACCCTGCCTCGAAAAAAACCCAAAAAACTGGTTAACAGAAAGATTAGAAATTGACTCTTCTAAGAAAGCATAACTAACACAATATCTATCACATGTAATTCTGGTAGAAATGAGTGATAACTTTAACCATCTAGCTTACGTTCCTGTTAACAAGTAATTTGGTTGGTATTCAATACAAAGAAGTAAAATGTAAACCTTCTTATAGTGAATTTTCAGAGTAAATAATAAAAATCTGTAGAAAGTGTGCAATTTAATATATAAAGAAAACTCTTAGTTCACAGTGCTGATACTCTCTGCTTCTTCAATGTAAGATGGGAATCAAATGTAAATTTATACATGAATGCACTTGTGTAGTTTCAGGAAAATGGCCACTCTTTCAAAAACAGTATATAAATAAACAAAAATACAAACTAATGTGGGAAATATTTTAGATTCTTTCCATGTTTACACACCTAAAAAACTAAAGGATGCTTTAAAGTACCTGGTGACTCAATATCTTAAGTATTAACTACACCAACAACTCACTAAAATGAATAGCTCTGTTCTACCCAGAAGGCTGATGACAGCATCCTGGTTTAACCTTATCTCTATCTCTAGCATTGGCATCTTTTAAACTCTTTTCTGAACCTCTCAGTGCAGGTTAATACATTAACATTAAGCACTTCAAAAATTACCTCATTTAATCACTGATTTAAACAATGACATCTTAAAACAAATAAGATCATACATTTAACAATTAGAATTTATTTACTATAATTACTTATTTCAGGGTACCCTATAAAGTACAGAAACTACCAATTTTTCAAGAACCACAACACCTAAAATACATACAATACATTGGTTTTGTCCCCAATCTTTTTCAGACATAGTTTACCAATAAATTAAGCTAGCAATAAGCAGATAATAATAAAGACCAAAGTAATACAGCTGTTTCTTTAAAACATTGGTTCTTACCCTTCCTAATGCTACAACCTTTAAATCTAGTTCCTCAGGTTTTGGTGACCCACCCCAACTATAAAATTAGTTTCATTCCTACTTAACTGTAATGTTGCTAACGTTATCAATTATAATGTAAATGTTTTTGATGACAGAGATTTGTCAAAGTGGTTACAAACCATAGATTGAGAACTGCTGCTTTAAGTAATAAACCCTTAATGTAAATTTGCATTTTCCTGTAACAATCATAGAAATTAGGAGTACATTTTAAATATTGTTAAATTATGTAATTCCACCATGCACACAAATATACAAGAATGTACAGTGGTGCACATCTTTAATCCCAGCACACAGGAGGCAAAAGAGGGCAGATCTCTATGAGTGTGAAGCCAACCTGGTCTACAAAGTGAGTTCCAGGACAACCAGAAATACACAGAGAAACCCTGACTTGGGGGGGGTGGGTAAGTACATTATAAATGAATGGGGAAAAAAACGATAACATGGTATTCCTCTATTGATACACTGCATGTTATATGATATTTGTAAACTAGAAGTCATATGATCAATAAAAAAAGATGACAAAAATTTGTATTTGTAAATATGAAATATTTTCTGAATATATTTCTTATCATTAAAAAGTATGTTGTGTATCCTAAGTACATTATATGTAAGATATACCTGAGATACACACACAAAAATAGAGTCATAAGCTGTAACACATGGAGAAGGAAACAGGACAGGGGCTAAGGAAAAAGAAAATATACTTCACAAGAGTTATTATACATGTACATTTTAATTTAAAACAAAATCAGAAAAACACCAGCTTCCCAGCATTGGGAAGAAATTATAATATACATAAGCATAAATCAAATGCTAAAGGAAAGCATAGTACATGAGAAAAGGTTTTTTCAATTTTATATTCTATAAATGACATTAATGAATACAAAAGTACCTGTCATTAATAAATTATAAGCTTCTTGTTTGGAAATCTTCCCATGGAACCATCTTAAAAGAAGAACAAATTTGACATGTAAATTAAAAGTTCATGTGCTGCTGCTTTCATATACTCAAAAGTAAGCAAAATTTTTGTAATTCACATTGACATGAAATAAATGCAATGGAAATAATCAAATTTTCATCCATTACATTTCTATTGTATTTTGGAAACTTACTGTGCTTTACTTCAGCAAAGTAAAAAAGACTAGGAACTGTCAAGTATAACTACAATTTCCATATTACTTATGCTATTTTAAAAATCTAGTGGTATCTGTTGCATGCTTATATCAGAGCTCCATTTTTACTCTGATGGCTTGTAGGGGACAGGAGAGATGATTTAAGGAAGAAACAAATTATTTTATCATGTTTCTCTCAAAATTAGTTTCTTTTAACATAAGATATCACCCAATAAAATTAAAATGCTAACAAAGGAAGGAACAAGTACATACCAAGAAACAGAACTAAAACTATTTTTAAATCTGAGCCTATCACTCTAGACTGCTAAAGTATTTTATAATCTTCATTTTGGATGTAAGCATTCAGAAATTATTATAAACTATAATAGCTGAAATATGGCTTGCCTTTTTATAAAATGACATGTTAAAAAAATTACTTGAGGATCAGGAATGGTGGCACACGCCTTTAATCCCAGCACTTGGGAGGCAAAGCCAAGCAGATCACTATAAATTGAGGCCAGTATGGTCTACACAGCAAGATCCAGGCTAGCCAGGATCACACCACTTGAGTCCTTGTTTCAAAAATAAACCAAATTACTTAAAAGCCAAACTTCTAAAGCTTTCCTCTTGTTTCCATTAAATCCCATTTTCCTCACACTGGTAATCTCAGGTCTCTTCTCCACCTCTCTGATGCCTCTAAAGATCTATGAGTTAAGTTTCGGTTGTAAAGTACACATACTACTACAAGACATAAAACGTAAGTGTTCTAAGATGCAATGCTACAGGCTTAAAGTTCTTTCATTCTGCTTCAGATTAATCATTCCATTATTTGGGAAAGTTAAAATACAAATTAATTTCAAGGAAATGAAAATTAAAATTTAAGAAATTATTCCAACAATATAATTTACTAATCCAAATTTCTTGATGCTCTCAGAGCAAACATGAATAATGAAGAGGAAATAAACAGTACAGTCCAAAATGATTTAAAATGTATGAGGCTATATACTGCATTTAAGTAAAGGCTAAACTACCATTTTCTACACATGCTAGATTTGAATTCTATATTCTAGGAGAGTCAGCTAGGTGTCATCCAAGACCAGCCATATACTTTTCTACCCAGTAAAGAACAAAACTCGGAAGAGTGATAAAAAACAAACAAAAAAAAAAATCAGTAGTTAAGTTTTAAAGATATAATATTCTGAACTTTAAGAAAAATAGCCTTGGGGCAAAGGGGTAATGGGTAATATTATTTCCTGGAGTTATTCTTGTATAAAACTGTGTAATCCAATTACATGATTTTACTCAAGATAAAAAGTCCTTACTTTTAAGAGGTCCAGAACCTGGTGGGAAAAATCAGTGTAGTAAGTACAGTGTGTGCTGGGGAGTTTGGAGAGGAACAGAGAAAGGACCTGCTTTGCTTTTCTGACCCCTGGGGTTTTATTATTCATTTTACATTTAGTATATGTAAGGAACAACATGAAGATTCACTGAACTTAAATTTGCTAAGTTAGATAAATACACAAGCAACTGAAGGGTAATCTTCTCTTAAATATAACATATATTCTATTAAGAAAAAAAGGTAATGAAAGAACTACATGTTCTATTCGGTTTAATATATTTCCTCTTCTAATGGCTAGGGAACAAGAAAATAAAATGTCTGAGGCAAGCTTTAAATTCCATCTATAAATGTTGACAGTTTGATTAAGAATAAAACGGAGTGAAAAGATAATAGACGAATACTCCATTGAAATAATAAGAATAAAATGAATACAACTGAAAGCTAAGATTTTAAAAGGAATTCTGTACATATAAAAGCAGCCTGAAAAACTTATTTTAAAAAACCTTTCTGGGTTATACTAAAATTGTCAGAAATTCTCTCACATGTGCATAATAAAATCTGAGTTTCAAAGTTTATTAATGATTTGGCCACAAAAATAAATACTATCATTAGTAAGAAAATGAAGAGAAATAGGAGCTGTGCTTACTGATAAGGCTTTTAGTTTAGCTTGGGGATACAAGATTTGTATACAGGTCTAGGCCACTGCATGCCTTTTTGTTAAGGATCTAATACTAAGATCCTTAAGAAATATATCAGTTCTCTAACCATAATTTAAAGAAAATCAGTCTACAATTCATCAAGTATTTTTGACTATTTTTCTAATTTACAGTCTAACATTACTTTTTTCTTTCAATAATTAATATAAACTCACATTTTGCCTTCATGTGGATCTTCTTCCCGGCCCTAAAGAGAAGAAAGAGATTAAAACAGCATTTTTTTTTTTTCGGTTTTTCGAGACAGGGTTTCTCTGTGGTTTTTGGAGCCTGTCCTGGCACTAGCTCTTGTAGACCAGGCTGGCCTTGAACTCACAGTGATCCACCAGCCTCTGCCTTCCAAATACTGGAATTAAAGGCGTGTGCCATCACCACCCAGCAAAACAGCATAATTTTTAATTTCAGAAAATTAAATCCTAATCTAATCTCATTAAAATTCCTAAGAATCCAATCTTCAAAACTATCTCCACAATACTTTTCCTAGCTGTGTTAGGAGAAAAGACGTTTCTGTTCAAGAACTCACCCTATAGTTGTCTGTTCTCCCTGTTGCTGTCAGTTTAAATCAGACCCTTGCTTCTTTTTAATAAGTGATTTAAGTAGCCCAACTACAGTACACTACTGCTCTGCCCATTCCAACCTCTCTGAATTCACTAGTGTCAACTATAGATGTACACTTAAGAATAAACAATCCAAATGAACAAACAATTTTAAAGCCAACCCTTTTCTAGCCTGCCTCCTGTCTACAGATTCCCCATGTTATAACCAGCGCCCTTAACCATCGGCCTCAAAAATGTGTTTCTGGCCTTATACTACCCACCTTCTTTCTAGGTGTCTCTGCCATGACCAATCTTAACTACTCATTTGCTAAACTATTTCACCTCTCTACTATAGTTTGTGCTCTGTTCTTATTGTTGCCATCAGAATGTCCTTTTAATTCATTGTTACCTACCTGCTGGGGAAAAAAAAAAAAAAACAAGGCATTAAGGAAAACTACCTCAAATGCTACCTCCTTACAGTTTAACACTTTGACCCTAAAATGTGAGCACTTTCTCTTCTCTGGAATACAAAATACATACTCTCTTTCTGCCATCTTTTAAACCTTATCTTTTTCTAGTCTGTACTCCAGGTTTTAAAGCTATTCTAATATTAATATTATTCATTCCAAAAATAGTGACTACCTTATTAAAGTCTAAGCTATTCTCTCTACCACCACCACCACCCAAACATGGTCTAAGTTCATAGTTCTCACTGAATATATAAAGAACTGTCATCATAGCAGCTTACACTGACCTTTCAATAAACTGATAATGAAAGGGAATAAAGGAGAAACAAATATTAGCAGGGACTTCTCTTAATTAGGTCCTCACTAAGTATTTAGTCAGACTAAAATCAATCAATGAATACTTACTATAGAAACTACAAAATGAATATTATAATTGCCCTCTCTCAAAAAGTGGTCTATATAAGGAATATAGAACCAATGAGTACTGCGAGAACAAAGGGAGAAATAATTTGGCCTAAAAAAAAAAAGTATCTAGACACAAAATCTCTGCCAAAGGGGGAGAAAGAGAGACAGAGACAGACACACAGACAGAGAAAGCGGGGAAGAAGTTGCCAGTTAGTAATAAATAAGTTTCAGAAGGCAACCTAAGATAACAGACCAAAAGTGTAAAATACAGGGACCACTATAGGCATGGAGACACTACATTCATCTCCTCAAACTTTACAGATGCCAGAGAATCATTCAGGGCAACAGGGACAGAGCAGTGAATTAGAACAACACTAACAAGAAAAAGATGTCTTTTTTTGGAGCATAGAATCTAGAAGTGAGACTCAAAAATGTGCTGATCTCCATCTAATTTATATTATGTACTAAGATGAATAATAACATGATAGCAAAGAAAAGAGGTAGAATATACAAACTGTAGGACTTTGGGATTACTTATATATAATTTAAATATTCCTAGATTATTAAAAATTATAAACACATTTGAAAAATTATTCCAAACATACAACACTTAAAATTCCTCTATGATTCAAATATACCCAATGAAGAACAGGTATACAAAAAAATACCAAAACAAGTACAAGTGATAACTGAGTTCACAAGCAGAGAAATACTTCCTGCAAAGGCAGCTATATATTACAACATATTAATATATTGTCTATTTCCTTGTACATAAATATCATTTATGTCTTAAAATTTCCTTATGCTTATGAATTAAAGTTTTTCACAAGAAATTTGTTCCTATCTAATAATTCAGAAAATGGACCAATTCCAAACTTTTATTAAGGATATACGATTTGAAATTTAGGAAAACATGAAACTCACCACCTCTTCTACTAGGTCTTCAACAATAAGGCCTTGTTCATCTGTTCTTAGATTTGTAACCCACATCCATCCATCTTCTAATTCATTGTGAACAATGAACATATCTCCTTTTAAGAAACTAAAATAGGAAATGACATTAAAATGTTAAAAATGGACATTGAAGTAGTCCTAAACTACCACACAGGATATTACAACAATGAAAAAAAAAAAAAACCTTATAAAACCTAAAGTTCTGTGCTGTTTCTGACATTTTTAGTGAAACTGAAGACAGTTAATAATCTGAATCCTAATTTCATTGTAGGTTCAAAAAGGGTGTCAATTTGCTGAATTACATTAAAATCAGAGTTCCTCTTTCTACTTTGCTGGATTAGAGTAAAATTAAAATTCCTCTAATAGTAAACAATTATATATGTATTGGAAATAGTTCCAAGAAAAATGAATTTTCAGTTTAAGTTTCAAGTTATTCTTTCATATGTATATGTAATAAAAAGCAACATATGTATGAGAAATGCAGAAAATTTCCTTTAGATAATCTCACTTAATTTTACTATGTAGATACTAATATTAATTAGCATCTATAATCACATCTAATAAATTTGGTTCAAATGCCTACTGTGCAATGAGTACGGCTTTCTTTGTCTAAACATGGTACCCAGATATGTATTAGAAACCATCTATGCTTTTTCTCAAACTATGTATTTCAGACTAGATGGATGCAAACAGCTTAGTGTTCCTCTTTACTACTGGATGTTGTTAAGCTCTAGACCATCAGGGTCGTCAGCTGCTGACCGATGTACATCATCAATATAAAACAAAACCATCAGGAATTCTTTGCAATTTTTCTTCCAGGCTCAAAAAAAAGTCTCTAAACATTCTTCTGGTGTGGGATGCTGCCATTGGCAATATGTCTATAAGGCATCTTCAAATAGTCTTCTGTAATTTTCTCTTTTGGCCTTAATACTCATAAACCTTAGTTTTATTAAATGAATCCTTCTCTCATATACTTGAAATCTTTGTTTTCTCTAAATGATCACAACCATTATTGTTTCTCAAATTTCAGAAAACAAAGCTTGTACAAAACAGAACTTATACACATGACTCTGTATTTAAAAAGCCACAGAATAGTATCATCTTGTTCTCCTTAATAGTGCCCAATATTTTCCAAGATAAATGGCAGCAGATTTTATCACTTAACCAAATCAATAAAGCCTTTCTAGAACCACTTTCCCAGCTACTGAAATAACACATGTACCATTACACCTATATGAAGTATTTTCTCTTTTCATTTACTATAAGAAATACTAGAGAGGCATACAGTGAAAGGTAAAAACAGAATAGAATAAGCATTTTGCTTCCGCATCCAGAACATCAAACGAAGCTATTTTTGTTAGCCAGGACACTAAGCACTTTAGTGCTGTTCTCTGTTCTGTCCTCAGATTGGGACTTACACTGACTAAAATGGTCTCCTCCGGCCTCTAGATTTAATACAATTACAGCATTAGTCTCCTGAATCTGCCTCCAAATCTTGAAGTAAATCTTCTCTGGAGAAGCCCAAATAACATGGGCTCGCTGTATGAGTCTCAGATCAACAGTCAGAAAGAGTATACTTTGAGAACTGCTACCTTAGATGATCAGACTGAAATGTTACAAATTTTCTAAAACTGTTATTTCAATACTTCTTACCTTTACTAAATGACTTTCTTTCTTGTAGTTGCTTTTATTCATTTCTCACATTAATTCACAAATAAGTGTGTCAATAAGAATTAAATGAGAAGTCATTATATTGACAACTATATAAAAATGGAACCTTTGAGATTCAAACTACTAAATCTGTTTTCTAGTAATAATTTCATAAGTCTTTGTTTTCTAATAATAATTTCCAAAAATTTTAGTGCCACAAAAAAACTTATTTTGTTATCCTATTATTTCAAAGAGACACTATATAGTCTATATATATTATTCAACTATTCAGAAGCAGCCAAACATTTTATAGTTAAGAAAAAATGTTTCTATAGAATGAATCTATAGCTTCTAGTGAAGAATAATTTGATTATCAAGCCTTATAATTACTTTATAATCAAATTATATGCAAATCCTAACAAAAACTATGATTCTCTATGGTTATATAATAGTCTTGAAATTTAAGAATATTCACCCATTATGCAAAATTCAACAATTATATTCAGTATCATTTATAGCTGAGGCATAAATGTTACAGGTGATAAAATACAGGAAATAAATAAATGAACCACACACAAATTGTGAAAGAACTCTACTTTCTCAGAAAACTTTATTAAAAAAAAAGCTGTTATTTCCTGTGTCATTTTCACTGTGGCCATCCTGATTTATATCTTCAGTCTGAATAGACAAGATATCCCATGGGAACACAACAGATCCAGCACTAAAGGCAACTTTATATAGCTATCATATTTCCTCAAATTCAAAACCTTTGCTTGTTTGAGAGCAATAAATCTTCATTGTCTAGCTCTTTCAAATGCTTATACATAAGATAAAATACCTTATTTCATCAGTCTCTGGTACTTTTGTATAGGGTAGAATGGCTCGAACACGTCTTCTATCTTCTACTGGCTGGAAACCATTGAAAACAGTAATACTTAGGAGCTAGGGAGATGGTTCATGCCCCTATCCCTAGGTCTGAAAACCCAAACTGGATCCACATAAACCCACATAAAAATTACTACAGGTGACAGGTGTGGCAACTGTCTGTAATCCCAGCATTTAGGAAGCAAACTATCAAGTCAAACTTTCCAAATTGAAAAGCTCTGGCTACATCCAGAGACTTTGCTTAATTAATTAATCAAGTAGAGAACAATCAAGGCAAACACCTGATGTCAACTTCTAGTCACCAGTCGTGAGTATTCACATACAACCCCGACAAAGATACACACAAGTCTCTATACAGTCACACACCTATATATATATTCACATACACAATCAAAAGATAGTATCTGTATCCAAGTCAAAAAAAGATACATTCACACAAACCTTAAAGCCAACTGAATATTATAAACTCCATAGAATCATTTAAATTAATCTTTACTAAGCTTCTATAAAGAACCTAAAAATGTTTGCTACTCTTGCTAGTTATTTTTACTGAAATTAGTGTGAAAGTACAACAGAGTTGGGTTTTTTTTTTTTTTCAGATAATCTGAACAATCATTAAATAAGCTACACAGAATACAGAAATTAATCTTCCTTTTACAATGTAAGACATTTTAACTTCCCTAGCAATTACGGTAAGCTATAAATGCAAAGAATTATCTTAAAAATCTAGTTACTTTAATACAAAATTATTTTAATAAGGAAACTAATTTTTATTCTAGCATTATAACCAGAATTAAGGCACATAAAATTATAAAAGTCTTAAGAAATTTAATCAGATCAAAATTCATCTGATTTTGTAAAATAAAAGTTATGGTATTTCATTCATGTTTTACTTGCCTCTGGTGGTGCAACTGGATAGAGTAATTTTTCTCCTTTAAGTAAACAAGAAACATGACTGTAATAACCTATTAGGTCTGAGAGTGAAGAAAAACGCCTTCCACCAATGTAGTAATCTCCACACATAGCAATAATCCTAGTTAGTAAAAGAAAAAAGAAACATAGTTTGAAAAGTATCCTAAAAACCAGTCTTTTTTATTCTTTTTTGAGTGAAAATTAAACACAGGTTCTCTACCATGGTGCTATGTCCCTCCAACACCTACACTCATTTTTTTTTTCTTTTTTTGTTTTTTCGAGACAGGGATTCTCTGTGTAACAGTTCTGGTTGTCCTGGAACTCACTTGTAGACAAGGATGGCCTCAAACTTAACACAATTATGAGATCTGCCTGCCTCTGCATCCCAAGTGCTGGGATTAAAGTCTAGCTTCTATGTTTAATTTTTAGAACCAAGTTTCATAAAGACAATTTTATCAACTTCATGTTCTTTTCCATTAATATACATTCTTGTACTTCAAAAACCACTTCTTCGTATCATCATTGGCAACTAAGTTTCAATTATGTAACTGAATCAAATACTTGAAAATTTACTACCTTCAGATCTGTCTCCTCACTTTCTATATTTAAGACTCAGCTATTTTATAAAAATTACTCTGGCTAGAAGTAGCTTACAAATCTCATGAAATTCATGTAGAATAAAAAATGCTACGTAAAAATTATGATCAAATATGAAATTATATATGTAAATGTTTATAGAGATGACACCTTACTTGAAAACATACATACCTGTTTAACTCACAAAAGTTACATGTACAGAATTTAAGACAGTGAAACTAAAAAGAACTAATCCTATAAATGTTTCCTGTTACTCTACAGTCCCAGTCTTTATTTCTTTCATTTTAGCTTTCATCTTTTTCAAAATGTATCTGTAATAATACATTCCTCAAATCTGAGGAATATATTTAAAAACTGGCATTGTAAAGATTACTATTACTATCTTTAAACAAAAAGTTTCAACATCTCAAAAATATTTACTCTAAATCACTGATTAAATAACTTAATTGAAATCAAGTTAATTATACCATCATTCACTTTTGTAAAAGTGGATATATTTATAAACATGTCAGATTAAATACCTAAGTGCCATATTAAATACCTTAAAGTCAGGACAGAGACTTACCTAAAATGGTTGACGACATTTGTCTGGCTAAGAAATGATAGTACAAAGGACCCCGGCCTCCGATCACTCTCTCTTATAAGGTAGCTTCCAGATTTTCCTGCCTGCCTGAGGCGTTCTTCTGCTATGGTTCTATCGAGTTTTCCATGATACCACCTAGGGTGAAAACAAATAATTAAATAAAACTAGCCACCATAAAACTTCTGTGCAGACTGAAAGACATAATACTATAGGTATTAAACCCTCGCATGCAACATTTGTTTAATGTTAAACATTTGTTTAGTCTGAACAATTCAATTTTAACTCCACTTTTCACCTCCTCTCAACTTCGCTAAGAACACTGTTTCTCAAGGTTTTCTACTTTCTTCCAATACTAAACTCTGTTATCTCACTGATGAACATCTTCTTTCCTTCAATCCCCTTGCTCCAGATTTACCTATATTTGCTCAAAATAGAAACATTTATAGTATCAAACCCTTTCCTGGAACAAAGCAATTAAGTTGAGTAATTAGAAATAATTTACAACAACTCTATATATAAAAAAATCCACTGATATAACAAAGTACTTAGAATCTCGTAGAAAATAGTATTTTACCTAGTTTTAGTTTTACTACCCTGACAGGAAAACAGGAAACTGATCAGTGCCCTGGATTTTAAGATAGCCAAATATTTAAGCTCAACTCTTCTTACAGAGAATATAAGTATTTTTTGGTGTGCCAATTCAATGGCCAGGGAATCCTTTGTTACCTGAATTACATGGTTCTGTAGCTGATCATACTACTTCAAAGATTTTCTGTAACTTTCAAAATGCCATCCAAACTGTCTTACACAACACTTGTCTCTTCTAAAGTTAGTTATGTTAGACTGGTATGAACTTATTATTTGCTAAAATTATAAACCCCCTAAAACAAATGAAGTACAGACAATTCAAAGGACAGTGTGAAGGGCTGCAATATTTCTCTTAGCCAAACTAGAATGTTTGTTGTATCACAGATATTATTTAACACACATTCTTTCACATAGAAACTCATCATCCTGCTTCTGCTTATCAAAATACCAGTCTGGGTCGAGATCTTGTCAAAAGTATACTTCTTTAAAACCCTTTATACATCTACAGCTGCAAACATTATGTTCTCCTTCTAAACTATACTACATATGGACATTAGTCGAAATTGACCTACTTCTACTTCATTTTTAAAAGTCTCAAAAGGAAAAGCTTTGTCTCACAGAGAAAGTTTTAACCAGACAGGGTGCTTCGTGCAGCCTCCGTTTTCATGTAATCTCAGTATTTTGGGAATAGAAGGAGATCAGGAATTCAAAATTTTCAGTACCACAAAAAAAAAGATAAATTTATTAACTATAAATATAAATCAAGAAAAGAGAAAATACAAACATAACTATAAAATAGAAGCATAAAAATCAAAACATTTCAAAATAAATAATGATGTTTACAAAATTAAGAGCTAAATGAGATTAGCAGGAAATTAAGCATTTTATACGAGGCAGATAAACTTGAAAACAGAATTTGCTTGCTAAACAACAAAATAGAATTAAAAAATACAGCAAAGGACAAATAATAGGGGCTGGAGAGATGCTCAGATGTTAAGAACACTGGCTATTCTTCTGGAGGTTCTGAGTTCAATTCCCAACAAACACATAGTGGCTCACAACCATCCATAATGAGATTTGGTGTCCTCTTCTGGCCTGCAGGCATATATGCAAGCAGAACACTGTATACATAGTAAATAAACAAATCTTTAAAAAAATGAAAGATAGAACATAATTTGCATATATGCTTTGATAACACTTGATTGTGATGTCATCCAGAGTTTTGGGCATTTAGATACGTGGTCCTGATTGGTGGCACAGTGTACGAAGTTTAGGGAGGTGTGGCCTTGTTGAAGGAGGTGTGTTACTGGAGGCTGCTTTGCTCTCACTACTCTGAGAAGCTCACAAGAACCACTAAAAGACCAGGATTATCATACTGCATACGATAACAACATCCATATATATTAGAAATGCATCTTTCTACAAGTGACTACAGGCAGTTACCTAATACTGACTATATGCTGAATCAACCACAGCCCATTAAAAATAGCCAAAAATGCTCAGAGTACATTACCTAGTCTTAATGTAATTAACCAGAAAATTACTATCTTCAAGCTGGTAAGATGGCTTGAAGCTCTTGCTGAAAGTCTGACAAACTGCTACCAAACTCCACAGTAGGAAACAACCAACTCTCACAAGTTGTCCTCCACTCTACATGTGAGCTCGTGCTCTCTTTCTCTCACACACATGCATACAAAACAAATATATAAAAAAACGACATTAGGTGGCAAAAGTCCCTTCACTACTTGTAGGTCATACGTTTTGAGAGAAGAGATTTCCAAAGACACACCTGGTACTATTCTAAGACATGAACCAAAAGAAATGTAAAAATTTTAAAGTAATTATTATTCTTTACTAAAAGTTTAAAGGTTACTAATTTATTTACAAATTAAGCATTTCTGTATTTGTTAATAGTTTCTTAATTCAAAGAAGCAAATCAAAAAGTGGTAGTTCTACCAATTTTGACTTACAAATACTATACTTAAAGAGAAATCTGTAATATTGAAAAATAAAACCTGAACAAATAACATAAAATATCTTGGAATAACTCTAACCAAACAAGTGGAAGATTTGTATGACAAGGACTTTAAATGTCTGAAAAAAGAAACTGAAGGAGACACCAGAAAATGGAAAGATTTCCCATGCTCTTGAGTAGGTAGAATTAACATAGTAAAAATGGTAATCTTACCAAAAGCATTCTACAGATTCAATGCAATGTCCATCAAAATTCTTCACAGACTTTCAAAGAACAACACTCAACTTCAAAAAAAAAACTCAAAAAAACCAGGATAGCCAAAACAATCCTGTACAATAAAGGAACTTATGGAGGCATCACAATCTCTGACTTTAAACTCTACTATGGAGCTACAGTACAGAAAACAACCTTGTATTGGCCCAAAAACAGACAGGAGGATCAATGGAATGGAATCGAAGATTCCTATAAACACCTGATTTTAGTGAAAGAAGCAAGAAACATAAAATTGAAAAAATATATTCAACAAATGGTGCTGGCATAACTGGATATCAACATGTGGAATATGAAAATAGATCAATGCACTAATACCATATTTGCATATATAACCAAAGGATGCTCAATCATTCTACAAAGACATGTGTTCAACTGTGTTCATAGCAGCATTATTTGTCATAGCCAGAACCTGGAAACAACCTAAATGCCCCATGACTGAGGAATGAACAAAAAAGATGTGGTACATTTACACAATGGAGCACTACATAGCAGAAAAAAATGATACCTTAAAATTTGCAGACAAGCAGATGGATCTAGACACATCATATTGAGTTAAGTAATCCAGACTAAAAAAAGACAAATATATGTACTCACTCCTAAGTGGCTTTTAGACATAAATCAAAGAAAAGCAAGCCTACAATTCACAATCCCAGAGAACCTAGACAACAAAGAGGACCCTAAGAGAAACATACATGGATCTAATTTACATGGAAGGAGAAAAAGAGTAAACTCCTGAGTAAACTGGGACCGTGGGGATCGTGACAAGGGTAGAAGGGGAGGGGGAGGAAGAGAGAGGAATAGAGAAAAATATATAGCTCAATAGAACAGTATATGAAAACACATTATTTGAAGTGTGTTTTTCTCTTTCCGAGCATCCTGACCACCAGAATCCACGCAATGGCTTTGACCTTGCTCTTTTGGAGATCTTTATGGGTACAAAGCAGACAGGAAGTTTAGAATCATCCCATGGTGCTGGGGCACTTCTATTCCACTGAGAATATTCCTGATAAGGTTACCTTGGAGGTTAAGTTTTTTATTTAAATTGCTAGTTGTTGATGATGTTTTATATATATATATATATATATAAAGTGATATTTTACAAAGCTGAATTATATTGATATTTGTCCAAATACTGAGATATGAAGATGTTTGCACTAAGGTCTTTCATTGGAAGTACTTAGAAGATTAATAAAATTAAACTGGACAGGACTCTATTTAGAGATTACATGAGTAATCAATAAATATCTTCAGAGGATTCTCTTTTTAAAATATATATATATGTATCAATAAAAAGGGGGAAAATGTATTACCAAAAAAAAAAAAAGAGTAAAAAAAGGGGGGGGCTGAAATCAATAAAGTTTTCTACCTCAAGAAATCAGAAAAAGGTAACCTAAAAAGGTAGAAAATAAATACTGAAGACAGGATTGGTGACACCAGAATCAAAAGTACAATATAACACCAGAAAAAAGTGAGTTCTCAGGCTAATAAACCTGGAAGATTGTAGCTAAACTATTGTAGGTTGAACAAATAGAGAAAAGTCGCCAACAACTGCTTTCAGTAATGAGAATGGGGTTCTCTATGATAATAAGCTAGAAAAGACATTTCTTACTTGATGGAAAGTAGTCAACAGAATATCTACTTTTTAAGTTAATCTTGATCATTTCCTTGTTCCACATATAAAAAAACAATTCCTTACATACATACAAACATAATACACATATAATTGGAAAAGTGGGAGATAAAGCTTCTAATGAAAAAGAAAGTAATGTAGAAAAGTGTATGTATACAACTAAATATACACAAGAATTTCTTACACATGACCCCCAAAACACATCAAATATAAAAGGGAAAGTGAATCTATTAAAAATAAGAACGCAGCAGCTTATTGTATCACAAATAATAAAAACCCAGAGACAGATATTGGGGTTCAATCTAGAGATCAGAAAAGCAAAGCTGCCAACCACTAGACAGACCTTTTACCTTTACCAAATCTTCAGATCGAAAGGGTGAGATCCTGTCTCCACAAATCCTCAAGATTCTATACTCCACTGAGTTCCTGTCTCTTCTTTATATTCCTCTCTCCACCCAGCCACATCACTACTGTCTCCATCTCCCTGGAGCTGGGATTAAAGACATGTAATCCCAAGTGCTGGCATCACCTCTGTGTGAGCTGTGTTTTTCTTTAAAACAGATTCAATCTTATGTAGACCCTGGTGACAACTCACAGAGATCTGTCTGCCTCTGTCTCCTGAGTCCTGGGATTAAAGGTGTATGCCACCACTCCCTGACCTGTATGGCT